GAGAGAGAGAGAGAGAGAGAGAGAGAGAGAGAGAGAGAGAGAGAGAGAGATTCCGAAACTTACCAGATAACCTTTTCGACGGCAATTTCGATCGCGCAAACTTTTGTATCATTATTCAGAATAATTATCTCATATTTATTTACGTACTCTCTTCCGTATATGTACAAGAATACCCAACGCAACTGCAAAGTGTACGCTAAATAAAAGGGAAATTCGACGACGTTTGTGCGTTTGTGGCGTAATATTGTGAGACAGAATATTTGTTAGAAAAATATATGTGACACAGAATATTTGTTATGAATTGCTAAAATATTAATATCAATGAATAAGATTAAATAAGTAAATGCTCATGAAAATTCACATGAAATGTTTATATAAAATATTCATATATCTGCCTCTAGATACGATCTGAAAGGGTGCTAACGAGAGAAAGTTCTTGCGCGAATCACACGCAGTTATCAAGCTGTATTAAGTTGCCTGATTAAACAGAGATTATCTTTTCTCTCATTCTTCTCTCAGACGAATTAAAATGCGAAGGAACGGGAAATAATACACGACTTTGCTCTAAGCAACAGTCCCATCTGAATTGTCACTAAGAATTGCGCTCGATTGTTGCCCTCACGGAAAAAAAGGATTTGCTACAGCAGCAAACTAATTTGCTATATATTGACAGTTAAACATAATTTACTGTGTTAACTACTTTTTCTTTGCTGCAGGAACCTATGATAAGAAAAAAATCTGCTCGTACAGCAAGAGAAGTGGCTAACGTAGCAAATTTACTATAGATGGACAACTAAATATAATTTACTGTTTCAGCTACTTTTTTTGTTGCAGAAGCAGATTTTCTTGTTATCTTAGCAAGGAAATTGGTTCCTGCAGCAAAGAAAAAGGCTAACACAGCAAATATGTTTAGCTGTCCATATCTTTTTTTCCGTGCTGGATAATTATTCTCAAGACAATCGTTCCCTCGAAGGTGGAAACGCCTGGCCTGAATTTCGCCGTCGCGTGACCAGGATAGGCGCCTGCATTAGCCGGTGTTTAGCTAATAGTAGTATCATTAGCGATGTGGTCCTGAGGTGTATTGGCATTACGTCGTCGTATTGGCATAAGGACTGTCACTCTAAATAATGAAGGACCTGCTACCATGCACGATCCATGTCCGTAAGTCGCTGCGCGCGCGACCCTCGTTTCCAGTCGATACGTGACATATTTAACCGTTGAGACTTACATAGGTCACTCAGCGGTGAGCTACGGTCAACCGATTTACGCTATTTGTTTTACGTCATTCGCCTCATATGCATTCGTATGCACATTGTACGTACGAATCATTTATTTTTATCGACCAATACGACGTCACGCCCGCGAATCATGGCTCGCCCGCGGCAATTCGTACACTCTGAATGTACCGCGCGCTAAAGCGTTACGATAGAACATGACGACTTCCTCCGTGAAATTTTCTCGCGGGCAAGATCGCGACTCCCTTCTCTTCCCCTCGCGCGAGAATCTGCCTCATACAATCGAAGCTTCATGCATTCCACGCTCACGAAAAGCCGGATGTGTATCATGAAATTTCATTTACAGGTCATCCACGTCTGGCTCACCCAGAGGGTGAGAAACAACAGACATAACGTTCCACGAAAAGAATGTAAACACGTAAACGCTGGTCGCGTACGCTCAATTAAACCCTCCAATTTCTTCAGAGGCGGCTTTCTTCTCATTCGAAGCGCGCTTAACAGCATTATCTAGAGTTAAGTAAGAGTAATAGTCGCGATCACGAAGAAGTATTCGACTCGAGAAGGTGCCACGGGACTGATTCGAGGAGGATGGGCGCCGGCGATGGTGCGATCGGTAGCAGTAGCTCTGTTTCACCAGTTGCTAACCCCGGCAGTGCGGCATCTTCGAACTTCGGACTGTTTTCTTCGTTGAAACTTTCTTTACGTTGAAAACTGCTGCGGAGCATAGCGGCGGCGGCGGTTTGAATTATTGAAGAAGATTATAGTCCCCTCGTCGTGTAGTCCGGCTCGGCGCAAGAAGCAGCATGGCGGAAAGTCGCGCGGCGCAGCGCAACGAAACGTCTGCGCCTGGTTACCGGGCCCCGATTGGTCCACGTTTGGTGCCTACCCCACCGGAAGGGGTTCCCCGTGTTGAGTGGTGGTGGCGGTCAGGTCATAGCCGGGGGTTGAAGAGAGCGTGAGAAGGGCACAGGCAGGAGTAGCGGCTGCAAGTTACCTGCGGCTTCGGCCAGACGCACGATCGACTCTTCACGACGGCGAGGGCGAGTCGCAAAAACAACGACTGATGGCAGGCCGACTAGTTAGCTTACTCTTCTTCGTTCTTCTCGTGTACCTAGCACGATTGCTGCAGCGTAATCGCGAGGCACTCAAGGCGTCTGCATCGTCGTAAGTCTGCGCCCCTCGGGCCCGATCCAGTTCCTCGCCCGTAATCTTGGACAACCAAAGCCACCAAGGTAAGATCTCGTTCGTACAGCAAAACTGTATTCGGGAACTCCACCCGGGTGCACCTCGCGTCTCGCTCGGAAACCTTCGAGTTACACCAGAGTGACAACGGAATTCGTTCGGAAACCTTGCTGGATGCAGTGAAAGATTCTTCACCTCGGAATTTCGGGGTGGACTCGGGTAACTCGTTGCACATTTCACGGGATTTTTAAATAATGTTTCCGACTTATCGACTCAACTTAACTGTCGACTTGTCGACTCCTTAACTTAACTATCCCCTAACTTCATAGCAGCCTCGATCATCAACTTTTATTTAAGCTTCAATAGCGTTTGTCTTCTCAATTATTCCATTTCGTGATAGCTGAGATATGAGCTATCCAATGTTGTTTTCATTGGTTCTATCTCAGCGGTCGCGACAAAGCCACAATAATACTTTCATTCGCCATTAGGTTTGTTCCCTATTGCTGAGCTGGCTGCATTAGCTTGCACTAGTTCTCTTCTCCTCTTTTTTTTTCCGCCGAGTCTTCACTGTATACCTGCTTCTCATTTCAAGTTCTGTCAACGTGCACTAGTTCAGTGATAAAAAGCAGACCTATCATTATTCTCATTTTCTCTGGCCGTTCGAAAACTATTCGTATGCAAGGAGGGGTGCACCCTGCCCTCGCCACCACTCACGCGACTCTACCCGCAGGATAAAGTTTCCGAATACAGTGATTCCTTACACGAAGCAGGGATAGAAAGATGTGTGAGAAAACCCAAGAGAGAAGTCCGGGAGTCTGAAAAACGCTTTTCGTGAGATCGTCTGAGTGTCTTCGCATTGTCTAGAGATTTCTAGAGACGTCTGAAGCGCTAAAGAATCTCACGGACGTTGCGCTATCTGGCAAGAAGCAACGCTTGATGGGATTATTTTAATAGTGCTTGAGCTACGGAGAGCGAAAAGGGAAGGGAAGTCTTAGACGATCTGTGCTGTTTGTGACTCGTGATATCTGAATCGTTGATACGTTCGAAGAGAGAAGCTTCTGGAAGCTTCTTCGTTCGCATCACTTCGTGCACGCGTGGCCTTGCGACGAATGATGCTGGTCACAGTGTGTGTTGTGCGCGAATCGCGACAGTGACAGCGCGACCGATCGCTGTCGAAAATTTAAAGTCAAGTTGACGAGTCCCGAACGGCGACCTCGTGCCAACAACAACACGATAACAGTTCCTTTCCGTTTTTCGCTTCGCAGATGATGAAGATGAAGCAGCAGGGCCTGGTGGCCGATCTCTTGCCCAACATAAGGGTCATGAAGTACTTCGGGCACTTCGTATTCAATTATTACGACGATAATTCGTCCAAGTACTTGCACAAGATATTCTGCTGCGTAAGTAAATCGCGCGATCCAACGTATCGTGTTTCTATCTAATTCTACCTGACGACACTAAATTCAATTCCAATTTTTCTACACATGGATCAAGTCTGGAATTATGTGTAATTTTTTGAGATTTTAAAGAGAGAGAGAAACTTTAGTTTCTTTACTTTAATTTCTTCACTAGTTTTTCTTGGTATAATCGATATCTCGCCACAAGCATTAAAATCTCTCCAAGCCTACTCTTTCCTCAGTTGTCTATTGGTCGAGGCAACATTTGGCGATTCCCCGATGCACCGTGTGAACTGTTGTTCGCAGGTGAACCTATTCCTGCTGCTCTTGCAATTCGCCCTGTGCGCGGTGAACCTGATAATCGAGAGCGGCGACGTGGACGACCTCACGGCCAACACGATCACCCTACTCTTCTTCACGCACAGCATCGTCAAGATCGTCTACTTCGCCGTGAGGAGCAAGTACTTCTACAGAACGTGGGCGATATGGAACAACCCGAACTCCCATCCGCTTTTCGCCGAGAGCAACGCCCGGTATCACGCGATCGCCTTGAAGAAGATGCGACTGCTGCTCTTCTTGGTCGGCGGTACCACTGTGCTCAGCGCGATAGCGTGGACCATACTCACCTTCTTCGAGCACCCCATTCGGACAGTTCTAGATAAGGAAACAAATGTGACCGAAATCATTCAGGTAACGATTAACGACGATCAATCTACAGAACAAAAACTGAGTGAACTCGCTCCGACGAGCGAGAAGACGAATATTGGCAAAATTATTTCAATCACAGAGAACTTTCCTAGGCAAGCGTTCTTTTAAGTCAATCATTGTTGCTTTTAATTGTTACGACACTGTGCGTGGTACACAGAAAGTTGATTTCTATTGTGCAGTTGAAACATCTTTTCACTGAATATCTCTTCTGAGCTTGCAATTGCGTTGCACAACGAAATCGTGATCTTAAACTTGTCCTGAATTCAGTTGCCGCAACTACTGCTCCGTTCCTACTATCCGTTCGACGCCGGCAAGGGGATTGCCCACATACTGATCCTCATATACCAGTTTTATTGGGTGCTGTTTATGCTTATCGACGCGAACTCCATGGACGTTCTCTTCTGCTCGTGGCTTCTGTTCGCTTGCGAACAACTGCAACACCTGAAACAGATCATGAAGCCCCTCATGGAGCTGAGCGCGACTCTGGACACGGTGGTCCCGAATAGTAGCGAACTCTTTAAGGTAAGTTTCGCGTTTCAATGATCCGTTGAATATTCAATGAATAAAGGAAGTACTTGCGCGCGTCCTATACTTGGAAATGGATTCAGAGAACATTCTACATTTATTTATGTTAATACCTCGAGGATTATATCAAGGAAATATTGCGGATGTTATTTTATTCGCTGTAGCAACACAGGCCATGCATTATTCGTGACTTGAACCGCCAGTGAATTTCTCGCAGTCCAAGCTAATCTCAAATGAATTGAACGGGCAACAACATAACGGGCATAAACGGTCTTTTGGTTACTTTCATAAATATTGGAGTGTCTAGAGCGCGTCTAAATCAGAAGATTAGAATGATCTTCAAACCCGCGCGTGATCAATTTTCTTTCTTCCTGTGCAGGCTGGCGCCACGGAACATCTCCGCGAAACGGAGAGCAGCTCACCTCCTCCTCCGCCACCGCCCCAAAGCGACAACATGCTGGATCTCGATCTTCGCAACATATACAGCAATCGGCAGGATTTCACCGCGACCTTCCGGCCGACAGCTGGTATGACCTTCAACGGTGGCGTAGGTCCGAACGGGTTAACGAAGAAGCAAGAGATGCTCGTGAGGAGCGCCATCAAGTACTGGGTGGAGAGACACAAACATATTGTCAGGTGAGTCTGTCGGATGGCACGCTTGGTATAAGTACGACGCTCAGATCGGCCGTACAATTCACAGAGTACAATGCACAGAGCAGAACACAAGATAAGGTGTCAAGACCGCGTCAAGAGTTAAAAGATTCAGTATCGAGCGACGCGTGATGAAAGGTGCCCCGTCCCCGTGCTCCACTTACTCACTGGAGGCGTGTAATTAATTCATACGCTCGACCACTATGTTGGACGACGGATCATTTCTTGAAAAGTTGCCCGCATCTTGCGAGTGTACTAGTGACCCAGAATCTCGCACAACTTGCGCGTCTCCCGGGCGTGTATTTAGTATATAGTCGGCATCGTGCGCCAACTGCACCCTCGATTATCGAGAAGTGCGGCAGCACAGTCTCGTGCACGCTTTCGCAATATGCTAATATTTGCGCACGATATGTCGCACTGTCAATCCTGCGATGCGATCCTTTTGATCCAGCACATGGTGAAGAGAGTGAAAGAAAAAAGAGGAAAAATGTCATCATCTCGATGCAAGACAGGAGAGAAACATGAGAGTCAATTTTGAAATTGATTAAAATTTTTAGAGTTGATTGGATTTTTATTTGGATTTCTTTTCTCACTCCAAATGAATTTATATATTGAATTGAACTGAATTTATATTTAATCAAATTTTCATACTTTTTAATTGAAGTCAATTTTTTAATTAACGCAAGTTTTTAGATTTAATTGAATTTTTATTTGAATCTCTAATTGAATTTATATATTGAATTGAATTGAATTTATATTTAATCAAATTTTTATTATTTAATTTAAATCAATTTTTAAATTGATACAGATTTTTAGATTTGATTGAATTCTTATTTAGATCTCTAACTGAATTTATATATTGAGTTGAATTGAATTTATATTTAATCGAATTTTTTACTTAATTGAAATCAATTGGTGGGAGTATTTCAGTGTACGATTCAAGCACGTAGAGCAAAGTGATTGTTGCGACATGTGCAACGCGGTTTACGATTTCCCTATACATTCGCATCAGCGCTTCCGCAGAAGTTAACTAACGCGTTGAACGTCGCGAAGATACCGACTCGCGTACCTGAAATATCTGAACTATTTCAAGGCTTAGGCTAATCGTCGTGGGGGTCGAATAACCGCGACCAAACGGGGCATACGCTCTTCCGACGATATATCGTATAATAGCGATTGCATAATCCTTAATTGGCCCCTCGCGAAGTTGATCGAATCGATATTTCGCGTATTAACGCTGCAGTTCGATGCAGCGTTTTATGGACAAAGAGGGAAACAACTGTCTCAATTAATCAATAGAGGAATCCCGACGTGAAAATATCCGAATATTTCGAGGGAGAACTCCCACGACAATAGCAGCTTGGTTCTCACCGTTTGCACGCCGAGAGAAGAAATAAATAGGAAATAGTCCAATAAGAAGAATCTAGGAAATAAGAATAGGAAATATAAATGTTCATTTTGTTTGCACTGACAACGTATTATTTACTTAATATCTAAACTTTTTCACTTAAATCGAACAAACGATTGCTTTCACGAAGAACTAAGGTTCTTCTAAGATTTCAGAAAAATATATTTTCTCTTATTTGACTCATTAAAAATGTATTATCGGTATTCACTGAGTAAACAGTTTTTATTTCTTAAATATTTCTTAGATACTTTCTGCGTCACGGTGTAGTCAGCAACTACAGGCAGAACTACCGTTGCGTCGTAATCGTATGAGAGGAAGGGAGTGTTCTTTTTCCTTTTTTTTTTTTTATTTTAACGCGCATCGGGCTTCACGCGAGTTTTCGTTCGCGCGGAACGCGGGTCAGGGCGACGCAGCCGATCGCACCTTCCGAGGAAAGTCGAGAACGGATGCCTTTCCTGTAGGTTCGCCGGGGGCGCCGAAGCTACTCGTCGGCTGGCACGGGATGCGCGTGTTCCCACGGTGGTGAAGTATTTATTCTAAGAAAGCGCGATATTGACCGCAACGGGGGTCGTGTTGTACGGTCTGCACGATTCATGGGGACGTATTCGCCGACCGTTCACGTGCAGCGCGTGTGGCCGCGCGCGCACACGTGGTTCACCTGCACGCGCGCTCGACGACAGATTTTCGTCGTTCCACGGTCCCTCGGACACCCCCTTCGGGATATCCCACTGATGATCGCTTGTCGCCCCACGTGGCTTGTCACCGATACTCACGCGTGCGTGAAACTTTTAACGATTTGCCGACCTCCCTCGGCAAATTCTGTCGCTCGTATAATTTCCGGGGCTCGTGCTTGTGTCGAGGCACACGAAATCGATGAAACTTCAATGAGCACGAGCGCTCGACTCGCCACGTGTCATTGGAACAACTTTCTTACCGATTCTACGCGTCCAAAAAAGAGAAAGAAAGAAGTACGTCGTGCCCGAAATTTAAGATCCTTTTCTGCATTCCCTCAACTCGTCTTTAACGATAGTCGTGAACGCTTGTCAAAAAGATCGCATTCATGGTCGCCGGGATCTCAATTTCGAATATAACGTATCCGAGACCTTTTCAGTGTCATCACCTCTCGCGGCATCAGAAGTGAAAGATATTGACCGCAACAGAGGTCATGTCCTAAGGCGAAAGTAAGTGGTCTGAGGGAAGGGGCCTCTGCAAAGTAGAGACCTACGCAGAGAAACAGGACATTCTTCTTTTTGCAACAGATCTTCACTTTTAATATGTTGATCTTTAAATGAGACTGCATAGCATTAAACGAAAATAAGTTACTTGCAAGAATATACTTGCAAGAATATATTGTGCGTTGTTTTCAACGAAGAAAAAGCTGTTATTATTATCGAGAAATAATTTTCATTAATAGAAGGTAATATTGGATTGAGAATACGACATCCCCAGGTTTCTCTCTATCCACTTGAAACTTAATTCAACTTTATTCAAATCCAAGTTACTGCATTGTTGACTCAAGTTAACAATCATTGCTTCATACATAAGCAACGATAGATAATTCTGTTAGAGCAATTTTATCACCTTGAATGTAAACAATTATTTGTTGAATTGAGTTGAAAGCGTATTGATGCGAGTAACTTATCTGCGTTCAACACTGTGCGATCTCACTTGAAGATTAACATGTTAGAGATAAAGATACTTTCCAACCAAGTCCTTCCCTTTTGTCAACGTGCTGGCATGTGTCTCCCGGGTGCGTCTCGAGGATCGCGGATCAACGGAATGACAAATCAGCTTCCCTGATGGAAGCTTCGCGACTCGCAGAGTTGGCTTCGCGCGACAGCGACGACTTCAGCACGAATAGACGTTGTTATAGACCGTTGCGTTTTCCTCAAGGTGTATCGATTATTCATTTAGATGAACTGACGTTAACTCGAGCGACCGGTGAAATAGGATGCGCGTAATAAATAGGATATATGTAGCGAAACGAAAGCGAATGCTTGTCCGAATCACCACGGCTGACCAGCTTAATTTTAGCCACTATAAAGTCCAACGCCCGATCACGGTTTGTGATTTAAAGTTGTTTTTCTCGCGAAAAGCCACGCCTGTTGATAAGTTTGTGTTATTTTCCAAAAGTGTGGCTAGAATCTCAATACGAACCGTCAAATATAGTGTAATTATATGACTGACATCAACTAGTAATCTATCTGATTGAACGAATCGTATTGGGATCCTGGTATCCCGCTTGAAAAATACCACCAAAATTAATTAAATATCGCGCGAAATTGGTTAAATATTATGTGACAGTCTATGGTATTTTATACTATTTATTTTAAACTTATATATTTAAAGGCATTAAATGGAATTATGCCATTATAGTAGCCTCAAGATATTAAATTGCATTATTTCTTTTTATATATAATTTTTATACAATATACTTTATATATATATATATTAGAAAATTGCTACAATTAACATTGATTGTCATTGATAATTTAAAATCATATTTGCCATACAAAATATGATGTGAATCGCATTTATTGTGATTCTTGAAAAAGATCACCATACAGAATTTCATGAATCGCGTGGTGATTGGCTATTCGCTGGTTCGTGCAATTTTTGCGATAACAATTACTTTTCTGTGTAGGTTGGTCACCGCGGTTGGGGACGCGTACGGCTTTGCGCTTCTGCTCCACATGTTGACGACGACCATCACGTTGACGCTGCTTGCCTACCAAGCGACGAAGGTGAGCCCCGCGCGCGTTGCCGGCAGTATTTTTTTCCAAGGTCTTCACGCCAAATGACCACTATCGATCGTATAAATGAGTAAAGCGACGGCAAGTCGACGGTTTAATGTGAACATATGAGGAATTAGCTATTTATACCAATATATATACGAGTCTTAAATGTTACAGGTGAACGGTATAAACGTATACGCGGCCTCCACCATCGGTTACATACTCTACACGTTCGGCCAGGTCTTTCTGTTCTGCATATTTGGGAACCGTTTGATAGAGGAGGTACGTGTCTGATGATTCCGTTATTTGATAAAATCCATGACTTACACTGCAATTCTGGACAAAATCGTAAAGCTCGTAACTTGTTCTCGTAAGACTCGTAAGAACTTATGAGTAGATTGATACGTAAGCTATGACTTTACGATTTACTCGTATATTTGCTTAGAATTGCAGCATTATTGTCATTATTTTGACTTTTTCCCGTGTTTCTTTAATGAGGATAAAAGTAAGAAGGTGAATTTTTTTTTTAAACGGCTATAAGGGACGAGAATAAATATTTGATGAACATATAAATATTGTCTTGCTATATCGTAGATATAGCGAGACAATGTTTGTTTACTTGGCAATGTTTATCTTTTACAATTGTTTTCCTCACATATTGAGCAATACTTTTATTTATTTTTGCATATACGCTAATTGCGTAAAAGCATTTGTAATTCTTTGCGACCAATAAGACATAAACTTTGCAGAACAATGTCAGTATTCTGTCGGTAAAGCTTTTAGCTTCAGTATCTTCTTAATCGTCGGACGCAAGATTCTCTCGATTCTAACGTCGGGTAATTAAAAAACTCGTGTGTCCACCTTTCAGAGCACATCTGTGATGGAAGCCGCTTACTCTTGCCATTGGTACGACGGATCGGAGGAGGCCAAGACGTTCGTGCAAATTGTGTGTCAACAGTGTCAAAAAGCGATGTCAATTTCGGGGGCGAAATTCTTCACAGTGTCTTTAGATCTCTTCGCATCGGTAAAACTTGCGTCCTCCTACTACTCACCTTATACTTACAGTGACAATGACAAACATTTGTCGCCTGTACAAAAAATTGCATATATGCCATTCTCTAGCCATGTGTGTGTGCGTGTGTGTGTGTGTCCTAATCGAGAGTTACTAACTTAAAAATGTTCAGCAACTTTAAGCCTGTGTTACACTACGGATTGAAGATAGAGGATTGCGGATGGAAGATTGGAATTTGATCAATTGGAGCCAAGCAGGCCAAGATCAAAGTGCATTGATTCGTCGAAATCTAATCTTCAATCCGCAATCTTCAATTTCCAATCCATAGCGTGACACAGACTTTAGGGAATGGCTAGGTATATATGCAATCCTCTGTATATACATGCACGTTTCGCAGATTAGGCGACAATTTCCCGAAAAGTGGATGGGATAATGTTGGTACTAAAGAAAATCTCTACGCGATATAATTTAATGATCTGTTCTTTGTAACTGCACTGCTGAACTAATGCAAAAGGTTAGAGTGAGAAAAAACTTGTCTCACTTAAATTTATTGCACCAATTCAGCAGTGCATTTACAAAGAATAGGCTTTTAAATTATATCGTGTAGAGATTTTTCTTGGTACCAACATTATCTCTTTCACTTTTCGGGAAATTGTCGCCTAACCGTTTCACGCGGACATTTAAGAAATGATACGATTAACAATTGTTCTTATCTTAACTTTGTAGGTATTGGGAGCTGTAGTGACTTACTTCATGGTGCTGGTACAACTGAAGTGAACAGGTGGCTCTGCGTGTTCTAAATGCAAGCGCAGGGTCTCGCGTTGCGCACGGTTGCGCAGGACTACATTTTGTAAAACGATTTTTACGGGGGATCAAACATTCGACGTATCGACGAGATTCCCGCTGGAGGTGTCCCGTATTTTTATTGGCGCATAGCAATTTGTCCGAACTCTCGCAGCGTGGAAAATCATAGGAAGTCATGCACTTCTCCAAACTAACGCTTCAAATGAACAGAAAAGAAAAATTATCCTAACAAAATTAACGTGTCGCTGGGACACAGAAATTTTTCCCATTTTTGCTTTCAGGTGATGATGAACGAAATGAAATGACGTTATTTTTAAAGTAAATAACGTTATTTTAATCGTTGGTCATCCTTAACGAATGAGCAATGAAAATTGAGAAGGTCGTCCATTGATACTCGATGTGACAGTCTAAACGAGTAACTCCGTATGATTTTCCACTCGTCGTGTTATCGGTGAAAGTGATATAACGCTAACGTAAGCACTAGTCGCGACTCATTTTCACGTGTACTAATTTGACGTAAGTCGTAATGCTTGGGGAAGATATACGCTAATGTCGTTCGCGTGGTGTATCGTGGCGGCTTTTGGCGCCGACTGTTCGCGCGTCGTATGATCGACACAACGGACCACGTATTATTAATGAATTACTATCTCTGCTTACACAGCATCGTTCAATGATCTCGCGTTGTTACGTTCTTGGTCACCGTATACTTCGAATGAAAGTCGCTTACGATCCGATTACCACTCGAGACTCGACTCGAGAGACTTCTCAACGCGAGATGAAGCAGCGCGTGTACATTAATGTGATTAAGCGTTAGAATGACGTAATGTAAATAAGGCGATTATATTTTTTGTAATATGGTGACGCCCTGGACTTATATAATATCGGATTATGACAGTGGCACGCTTTAACGTCATATACGCAACGCTTCGTAGTTTCTGTTGTTGATCGATTATCATATATGTAAGAGAAAAATTATATATTATTTTCACGAAATCTCCGCGCTCGCGATTGCGAGCCAGATCGGGCGAGGGCTGTTGGATGTCGTTTTGATTTCGTCTGGTGCGTCAGCCGCAAAGCGCGAATTAATTTTCCGAAAATTGACTTCTTTCTGTCTCTCACAGCCTCTTATTATTAACGACTTTAGCCCCTCCACACCACGATTTATCGTAGAAAATACGTTCCGCACACAGTACAACGATTTATTGATCTCCGTATTTGTTATGTCGTACTCTTAACCCTCCGAGATAGAGGGATAGGCGCGCACGGATATCACGTTAACCGAGCCATTGACTTTGCTTCTTATCGCACGCCTGCTGGAGGGTTAAGCGGAAAAAAAAAGTCGGTCAACACGTAGCGATTAAGGAGAGATACGTAGCTGCGTAAGTTCATCGCGGGAGGAAGACAAAACTCTCTGTCGCTCTAATGGTGGGTGAGGAGTGAAAGGAATGAGGAAATTCGCCCGCCCCGCTCCGTCGACGGGCGCGTTACGACGGAATTAATTTGATATCACAAATCACGTCAATTACTACATGGTACAATTTTGTGGGGTGGGCAATACGTATACCTAATGTACCTCATTTTTTACAATTCGTAATATCTCTCGGTGTCTTTAGTAGTATTTAATTTTGTCACTTATATAAAGTGTCCAGCAGAGGATGTTTGCACGTGCATGGCTGCTCATTCTCTCTCTCTCTCTCTCTCTCTCTCTCTCTCTCTCTCTCTCTCTCTCTCTCTCTCTGTCTCTCTCGTCTGCCCGTTATATTATAGATATTATTATATTATAGATATATTATAGATATTATTATATTATAGATATTATTATATCTGTATTATATCGACGCAGATATCGTTTCTCACGAAGCGTGATACGTCTCGCGGAATATGTTAGCGATATATACGTTGAGAACGCAAGACAGCAACGTGTCGCTGTTCGAAACGGATACGACGAGGTGTCTGACGATATCGGTGGTCGATCTACTTCGGCTCTAATTGAACGTGTACAATTAACGTATGTGTATATTGATTCAAATTTAATCGACATAACAGTCACAGTATTATCAAATAGTTTTTCTCTGTGTAAAGCTGTACTATATTTATTTAATAAAATCTTGATATATAAACGTTCATATAGACTTTAAAATGTCCAAGTGTGGTCCCAACTTCCCTTAGAGAGACGTGTTCTCGCGTTTGTTATTATCTCGTAAAAAGCATAAAATTTGTATAAAGCAATTACATGTCGTGGAGTGTGGTCTGCATATAAAAAAATTAATAATAATTTTTTTCACTGAATATCAAGGAACACTTCAAAATTGAACACATCAGAAATGTTAAATCTAACAATGAAATCAATAAAATATATGTATATATCATATTAATTTTGTTATGTTAGATTTGTTATTTCTGAAGTGTTTTATTTTAATATCAAGTCAAAGTGCATTTCCTTAGTTTTCAACGAAGAAAGTTATGAAAACCTAAGCTATAATACAAGTGATAAAATAATTTGAACAGAATCGTTGTCGAATTACTATGAAAAATGACTTATCTCGAGGCGAATTTTGTCTACTTTCTCATGGACGGATAAAAATGCTATCTACCATCGTATTTAGCGACCCAAAAAACGTAAGATTATATGTGCAACTTACGTTACACTTCTTAGGTAAAAATCGGTCCATTTTACTCATCGCTCTTTGTGTAAACGATTGAGAAAGATCGCTCCAATCTTAAACAACCCCCAAGTGGCAGCGTTATCTTGGGGCCCACAAGGAAACGTAAGATTTGAACAATTAGAAAAGTTGGCCAATTACAATCGATTATTCTCGAGCTGTGAGGAGAATCCTCGACTGTGGTCGGTCGGCGGTTTATTGCTTAAGTTTCGCTGCTTACGTTTTCCTGCGTGTTCTCGACCTCAGTCAGCGAAACGCGAGTGAGAAATTGGCGCGGCCGAGGCTTCGAGCAGCACGCAGGCGCAGATCGAGCACCGAGGGGTAGCTTCGATCGTCCGGGGGTGGCCGTGCTGGCCGAGACGTCTCTGCCTCGTGCGTGCTCGCTCCTCGCGATGCTGCCTGTACCGAGGTCCCGCATCGTCGTCGTCGTCGTGCTCTCGTGACGGAGGCCCGTGACGGAGGAGCGCGTGTCGGTCTTCCGCGACGAGAACGAGACACTTCCGCTCGTCCGACCTGCCTCTGTCTCTCGTCGGGAGACGCCATCCGGAGGGATTCCCGGTGGTCCACGGGGTGACACTGTGATCGCGTGGAGTGCGTGGCGAAGAGGATGCAGCGAGTGCGGATGCAGTAGACGGAGTCCTCGCTTCATCGGACCCGGGGGAAGCCGGCATCGAGTTCGCGAGCCTTCACCGATCATCGTTAGCGACGGTGGTCGCGGCAGTGATGGTCGCAGTGCCCGCGATCAGCTCCTACGAATAGCAATACGAAGCAATACCGGCGCGTGCACCACGTCTGATGTATCTCGCGATCGTAACCACTTCGCGCCGTCGATGTAGTTTTCACGGGTTCACTTGTAACGGGAAGGAAAGATAATAAAGTGATTCGCGGCCCGAAACACGTACGGATTACACGTCTCAAGTGAATCGGACGAGCCAGACGTGCGCAATCGTCGATCGCGAGAGATCCCAGGATCAAAGGAGGAAGCCTGAACGATCGCAATTCAGCATTGATCGCGTGTTGGTCGCATCGCCGAGTCATAAAGGATAGAACGAAATGCGATCTAGATGTCCTCTGACAGGGAAGACCGGTGTTTAAACTCAAACGAGGTCAGATCTCGATGTCGTTGACGCGCGAAAGCAATCACTGACGTATCTTCGCGACGACGATCGGACGGATTGCAAAGTGCATCTTACCCTAACATCGAATATTGAACACACTCGTAATCTATGTTCCTGATATTTCACGGGAGTTCGTTAACCTTCGCGTAGTATTAATACCCGTCGGGCGTCTCAAGGGTATCACGTGTGATGGCTCGATCCGACCCGGTCCAGCACGGTACAGTGAAAAATCGTGTGCGTGAGATGCAACGTGTTACGTAATTGAAACACCGAACCGTGTAAAGAGTAACAGGCCGCGATAGCAGACGTCATTCGCGAACGTTGTAAATAATAAGAATAACACAAAGTCGTGCGTGCTCAAAGTTTCCGTACAATCGCGATAATACGTATCAGAAGGTATCAAACTCGAGGGGAGGAAAAAGCTGCGGAGCGAAGTCTCTTTAGTGTTCGTTATTAATAGTCGAGGAAAGTCCAATTCGTCTGAATCGTCGTTGGGGCTCAAACAACGAAATCGTGCCGAGGCTAACGAGAACTGGCGCGGCACGACTTGCGAGAATCTTTTTGCGAATCACCGATAACCATAGGTACAAAAACTGCGAGCGGCTGGAGGAGGCGAAGCCTCCCGCCGCATAAGCAATATCGTAAGTACCCCTTTCGCAACTTAATATCATACATCTCATCTGTCTTACACCACACATTCTCTTTCGTGTCAGATAAAAAAAATAATTTCTCTTTCTTATATTTGGATTCAAAAGATACGTGCATGTGTACACTTTACTTTCGTTTGTCACTCATTATTTTCGTCTTTCCTCGACAATACACTTTCAGGTGCATTAATAATCGTTACTTGAAACTTATCCCACGTGAGATACTGAAATCTGAAATTATATTGGGGAAAAGATACTTGAAAATTTATTTGTGAGATGTAAAATTTATTTCCGCAAAGATAAGAGATAAAATTTATCTCCGTGAATAAATCTTACATCCCACAAATAAATTTTCAAGTATTTTTTTCTCAGTGTACAACCAGATTTAAGTATTTTATTTGAATCATGTAATATACACGATACGTTACATCTGTGATCGTGATTCAGTTAAAAAATTCAAATCTAACTCAAAATTCAATTATAAATATCAAGCAAGTTTTTTGAGTAACGACTATTAATACAGTTTTACACTGAGAAAAAGATACTTGAAAATTGATTTGTGCAATATAAAATTTATTTCCGTAAAATAAAGTTTATTTCTCTCTCTGCCTTTCTCTCTACGAAATTAAAAAAAAAAGAACGTTTCATCAGCTGAAGGGATACCTCGCTCACGTTTGTTTTTCACGACCCGAAAGTTTAATTGCATTAACGCGCTCTCGCATACGAAAACATCGATACGAAAACTCGATCGTGTATCTCATCACGAGCTAAAATTAATTAAAGCTCTATTAAAGTTTTACTAAAAGCTCGAGCGCGCACGGCTGAGAGCTAAAACCGCGTCGCGATATCATGTTAATGAAATAATACCGGTGATAGAGTGTAGCTTTCAAGTTATAACTCAATAGCATATGTTTGCTCGATTCGCTTAATGTGTCGACGCGATGACCTTGTCATCGCGTAACCTAACGCTTTGCTTCAGGTAAACGCGAAACAATTCGAAAATGATCGCTTAGTGAGTCGACAAATGCCACCCCTCTCCTCTTCCGCTCTTCCCTCTCGTCACCTACATGTAACGCACATCGCTCGGGAAAAACTCGGTGTTAAAGTAGGTCAGATACGATCAGGTACTTCGATATCTCGCGAGAGAGGCAAATCCCATTTTGTATTATTTGCACAGTCTATCTTAGTTAGGAGTGCGGTCGTGGTGGCGCCGCGACGCAAGCCGCGCGATATCGTAATTATAATCAAGTCACACGGCCCGGGACGCGTTTCGCGCGATGCAATTTGGCAGCGGTGATCGAAAGGAGATGAGGAATACTTGAAACACTGCATCCAGTGATAATCGGGAGACCCCCGACGCCCGTTGCACATACACATGGTCGTTGATCCCTGGTTATAAGGGACAGTATTCCGGAGTTTCTCGCCAGTCGATCGGCGAACTTCGGCCGCGCCGGTTGCCAGAACGAAGCGATAGCGAGCAGCAGCAGCGGCGGCAGCAGTAGCAACGGCATTCGCGATTCGCCGGGATTGAGGGATTTTCGTTTGCGATTGAATTCCATGGATCGTTCGACCAAAGACGACGACGCATCGTCGAAGTCGGTTTTGCACGCGAACAAACGGCTTCTGGGTAAACGAGATTCGCTTGTCCGTGCACGAGGTGTTCCGACATGAATTTACCGTCGTTGTAGAAGCATGTAAGACGTTCTAATTTTCCTTATTTGTGCGTTATTCGGGCATAGCTGGTGGAGAAATTTCTCGAGGCTGCTGAGAACAATACGTTCGTTTTATTTCACCTGGACTTTCTTATTCCGCGAAGCGAGAACAAGCACTTTTCGGATACTCCCAGCATAATTAATCATTCTGTTGCTCGTTCATTAGGTTTCATTCATTTAGCAAGACACGCTGCATCATACAAGCGCACGCAATCCTTTGAATTCCGGCACGCTTGGTCTTCAATTGTTCGATCTTGTGTTGGGAGTGGATTCTAGTCATAGAACACGCCTTTTCAACGATGTCTTCGTTAATAAAAACGGCACGAAGCGAAGCATTATTTTCAAATCGAGGAGACACACTTGATGAAATCCTGCTTAATTGTCCATAACTATACACTGCTTTGTTATGCGCGTCATTGATTATTCTAGATTTATTCTTGACGAAACACCGACGAGATATAACATGTTACAAACGTATTCCACTTTATGTTTCATTGGAATATTCATCGACAACTTTATGCAAATCTTACGAACGACTTGTTTCCGGCAAATCACATGTCTGCCTTAGTCGAAATCTTGATCCTACTTTCGACCTCAATACTCCAGTTAACGCCTATTTTGATACTCTGGGACCAGTGTCAACTTCTTTTAGTTCTACTCAACCTGCTAGCGTTGCCGAGAGGTTCTCTTCAGAGCCTACAAGTGGCATTTCGTGCGTTTCCTGCTACTTAGAAGTGCTAAATAGGAGATTTGAATTTCCACGCATATTAAGCACACCTTGATTCTGTAAAACGTACAGATGTTAGCAAGTTCGAAAGGAGGGCTAAAATTTTGACTCGGGCCTCATCGACCACAAATCACTGGACACGCCTATCTTCAAGAGACATATTTCGGCAATTAGTATCGCAATTTTTACATGGTATTTTACGTACAGTTAACGTATCCTTTCCTTAGTCGCGCGAAAATAGCAAAGGCACCGTTTCGTTTCGAGGGTCGTGAAGTGTTTACGCGAATGAACGGGAACATGCTGTTTATGTCGAATAGTGAGAGACAGGACATTGCAATTTATAGGTAACGGGGGTCACGCGCGAAAATATTCGCTCGTTTTGAATAATATATTCTCACGGCGGAGAACGAGCGTGACTGCGAGGTATCGCGACGTAGGCGAGACGAATGTCCCGGAAACTTTTCCGTGTAGATCTCGCGTAATGGCTCTTACGTCTCGGCGAGATGACGTTCAAACATGACGAAGAAATGTATCTTTAACGGGAGACACGCTTTGTGTTTAAGTTCGCTTCGTGTACTCGTGGCTGGTGGTGAACTTGATCAGTGGTACACCCAAGGACCAAAGATAAATCGAATGTAAAGAGTGCCGTCGACGTGGCTGGAATCTCGTGTCCCGCGTTTGTTCTCAATTTGCCCGAATTCTCGCGTATCCGTTTAATTAATTAATCCGTTCGCGTCGGCGAAGTTATTACATTTGAAAATTAAATTCCCGCAAACGAGAGAAAAAAGAAACTTTCCGACGTGCTCGCGCTGTTTGCGCGTGCAATCAAATTGTTGAAAATAATTTCAATTGCTATCACGCGGACTGTGTTTGGTTGCCGATGGTCGCATTTTGCCTCGAATCCCATACGACACAATGACTGCGTTCAGCAAAGAAAACTGCTCCGCTACCGCTACGTAGCGAACGTCTACGATTGGAGTTTCTTTCAGATTTTTTATGCATATAAAAGAATACTCCAATCGTAGACGTTCGCTACGTAGCGGTAGCGGAGCAGTTTTCTCTGCTGAACGCAGCCAATGTCCAAAATCGGGACATAAGACGTCTTTAAGGGGATGCTGAAGCTGAAAACTTTACCGACAGAATGCTGATGTTTTTCTGCAAAGTTTACGTCGTATTGGTTACACAGAATTACAAATGCTTTTACGCAGTGAAAATACGTGCAAAAATAAATAGGAGCATTGCTCGATATGTGACGAAAACGAACGAAAAATTTTTAATGTAAAATCTCAAGATGTCAGCGTAATATTTGCCTAATCCAAAAATTCCGCAGCTTGTATATACTGAAAGTGTGGATGCTCCAAACAGAAAAATTTAGAAGAACATTGTTCTATCTTCGTATCTACATTTGGAAGCTTAAAAATATAAAAAAAAATTTGCAGAAAAATTGCTATATATATATATATATATATATGGTTAGATTTTTCGTTGAATATGATAAAACAAAGCAACACACATTCATGTAAATCCTGTATATACAAGAAATACAAAAAGGATAACGTAATTATGTTAGTGACGATCGTCTCTGCATTATCGTCATCGACTCCAACATCCCCTTAAGACCTCTTGAAGTTGTCTCTAAGACTTTGAAACATAAGATGTTTCTAAGACGTCTTTAAGATGTCTAAAATCGGAACATAAGACGTCCTTAAGACGCCTTATGTCCCGATTTTAGACGTCTTGTTGTATGGGAGCTGAAACAAGAATTTCGGATTGAGCTCACGCCGCGATGAGTTTCGTTTGAAATTTCATCTCGTGGTATCTCGCGTATCCTATCTTCTCTGACGAGTCATGTGGGACCGTATGTATCTTTGACATTTTATTGAAGTCGCATCTCGTACGCAAGATACAAATTTCTCTCTGTGTGTGTACGTCCGCAGTGTTGTTTGATTTATATATAGGTTTTATCCCGGGTGAGTTGTGTTGTTGCATTATATCTAAATTAGACGGCTCTTAAACGACGCACTTCCAGCTGCAAAGGCGCGGCACAAAATCCCGCGATCTGTGTGCACAACGAGCAACAAGTTTTCGCTATGTCACGCGTTACACATTATCGCGCGTCGTTGCACACTTCTCGCTGATCTTGCTGCAGAGCTGGACCTCGATTATTTAGAAAGGAGAGGAAACACAATAACCTACGAGGGCGCTGACAGCAGCTCGAAAGAGGAGGACAGTCCGGCGGACACATTAGATCGCGTTAAAGTTGTCTTCCTGGGTGCACCCGGCGTGGGGAAGACCAGCATAATCCGAGTAAGTATTTGCTCATTTGTGGACACCACTCTTTTGAAGTGAATCAAATGCTTTTGGTTGAATCAGCAGAAGAACCAAGATTCACCGATAATCAGTGAATATCTACTAATTTTCAGTAAAAACATTCGCTTCCCCAGACAACATAATGTTTAAAATCGGGACATAAGACGTCTTAAAGATCATCTTTAAGATGTCTTTCAGACGATTTACGTATAAATGTCTTTAAGGCGTCTTATGTCCCGATTTTAGACATAATGTTGTCTGGGTCGTTATTACTTTATCTTATTTCTCACTGATTTTGACTAGCCGAAGTAGGATTTTATTACAAAATCTGTGACAAAGAAATTTGTTGTACGTTGCACCAAATCTAAGTTTCTGCGTTTGTCATGATGGGATTTAACGACTTTCGTGCATCTTGCGCGCAATGACATTGTCTGCGTTCGCAAAACACATATCGATAACACGAACAGTCGCGACTATTGACTGATCTAATCAGCGAGATTTTACTGATCGCAGTTCTGTGCTTCTAACTGAGCAATTCCAGTTATAAGTATAGCATTTTAATGAAAAATTCACCGATTGTACTTTAGAAAGCACGTAGACCACATTATTCTTCGAAATTAGTCGTTGGAATATTAAACGCAAATGTACATCCGACTTTCTCTCGTTTTAATGCGTTTCTCGCATTTTAATGCATTTATAATAAGTTAACCCGAGTTGAAATTTTAATCCTACTTTTAGTCTTACTATTCCATTTAACATCCATTTTGATTTTAAAACCTGTAATATAATTTATTTTGACGTTAAAGAAAGTAAAAAGGGAAATTTCATACATCATCAAAGTTAAAATAGGAATAAATTATATCGTTAGAATTAAACCCACTTCGTTAACTTAGCTTCTGTGCGCTGTAGAACTCAAAGTTCAATATAGGTCCAAAATTTCGACTCGGAAAAAGTTACATATATTTCGTGCAAAGTTTTATATTACGAGGACACCATTCGTGAACCACTTTCTGTCAGTTTAATGCAGATGTGAAAGCGCTTCCGTCATCTCGCAAGTAGAGTATGCGAAAACATGAATTGCACTTACACGCGACTCGTATACAACCGGCGCGTGAAGGTGTCGGAATCTTTGTTTCAAAGCCGGGAAGGGAAGCAGCAAATCGCGGAAACGAGTCGCTCGGGCGCTCCGTTCATTTCCGACAGTAGTTTCCGCCTGCCGACCATCGATTCCCGAGGAAATTAAAAGGCATAATGAATATCTCAAGGAGGCTGTTTCCGCGCCCGACTGAAATGTCAGACTAATTTCTCTTTTCTCCTCTCCTTTTTCTTGCTATGCTAGTCGAAATTCGTCGTTGACGTGACTATCGAGATAATGCCCCTCGATCGATCAAAGTGATTCTGCTCAACCTGTAATTGCACTTGAATAACAATCGCGACCACATTCGTCCGTTTCGAGCATTCGGGCGGGTCAATACATACACGCAAAATTCATCAATACATACACGCAAAAATTCGATTGATGCAACCAAATAGGAACCAATTGAAAATTAGGTGATCAGAAGCGATATCTCTGTTATGAAAACTAATATTTCTGTTGACGCAACCGAAAATATTCGTCTGAATATTCAACGATATTAGAACTCGGTTGAGGCAACTGAGAACAATTGACTACACTGAAAAAAAATTTACTAAATTTAAAAAAACATTTGTTTGGATAGTACTGTGAAGATATTTGTTTAAATTAAATAATTATTTTCTAAAATTAAAGAAACAAATTTATATTTAAAACTTCTTTATTTAATTTTAGAAAATAATTATTTAATTTAAACAAATATCTTCACAGTACTATCCAAACAAACGTTTTTTAAAATTTAGTAAATTTTTTTCTCAGTGTATACAGAAGCCTCATTAAAGAATTTTCCTGTTCCTACAGCCGAGTTTTCGTCTGATCCCTGAGCAAATTCGATTGCACCAACAGAGTTGTTTTTTCCGTGCATCTATCATGCGATCGTGATTGGCGTTTTCAGCAATTCGTCTGGAGCGAGTTCTCCGAGGAATACCGACCGACCGAGAGGCGGGAGACATTCTATCCGAGCGTGGTGCTGGCGGATCGATTGTACGAACTGAAGATCACCGATCTACCGACGATTCCGTACTTCCCGGTCAGCTCGCATCTGGAATGGACGGACTTCCGTTATTACGGGCTGCGCAGCGCAACGGCTTACGTGCTCGTGTTTGACCTCAGCAATCAGGACACGTTTCAAGTATGTAGCCGTGATTTTTCACATGAAAATGCGACAAGCTACGACGTGGGTAACTCACAAGGCGAAACTTCAGTTGGAAACGCCGCCGGGAACTTCGCGAGCGTCTCTCCTTTCCTTTTTTCCAAGCAAAGGTTGTCACGAAAGTCGCGATTTTTATTTCGAAGTTGCATCGAAATTGCCAGCGGAGAAACTCGATTGCCTGAATATGTTTGCCGCGCGAGCTAAAATAATCTTTCAGATATTACACACATGTAACTCCCTCGTAAAAAACGCTGAATCGATTAACTAACAATAAATAAAAGATACAAAAAGTCGTTGCGTAATGTACGAGCGAAACGGCGTAGTAAGTGATCGAGGAATGAGGAAATGAAAACATCTTAATCTACAGATCTAAATCTACAAATCTAAATTTACAAATCTAAAACTGCACATTCAGAAAAAGATTTACAGTTACGAAATGACCATTAACTTCGCAGTTACGTTGACTGCGATATCTTAGAGAGCCACTATTCGGAATTTGCCAACAAACTCGCGGTCGCGAATGGAACGTCGCCGATTCTATTGGGAGTACAAATTAGTTCGGTTCGTTTTTTTGTGGTCAAAAATGTATTTATTTCAGAACAAAATGAATGAACAGATTAATCAAAGTATTGTCCATCGCTGGCTACTACTTTTTCCCACCTCTCAGCCAATTTTCGAATTCCATCTCGAAAAAATGTTTCGTCTTTTGAGGCGATCCAAGTTAGGAGCCAATTTTCGATTTCTGCGAAAGAACTGAACCGGTGACCTGCCAAAACGTGCTACATCCGTTGGAACAACCAGTAATCAGAAGGAGCAATGTCCGGCGAATACGGCGGGTGCGGTAAAATATCCCACTTGAGCGTTTCCAAATAATTTTTTACGACTTTTGCGACATGAGACTGAGCGTTATCATGCAGAAGAATAACTTTGTCATGTCTTTGCTCGTATATTGTGAATCATTCCCATGAATTTCAATCGTACGGAAACTGCTTGTTGCGTAACTCCCAATGATTCTGCAAGCTCCTCTTGCGTTTGACTCGAATCTTCATCGAGTAATACCTCCAATTCTTTGTCTTCGAATTTTTTTGGCTGTCCAGAGCGAGGCTTGTCTTCAACGCTGAAATCATCATTCTTGAAACGTCGAAACCATTCCCTACATGATTTATCAGTTGGAGCATTGTCACCATAAACTTCTACAAGCATTCGATGCGCTTCAGCTGCACTTTTTTTTCCAATTAAAGCAGAAAACTAAAACCTCCCGCAAATGCTGCCTAGTTAACACAAAATTTGACATATTCAACACAGTAAAAACAGGTTTTGTATGAAACTCAAAGCGATATAAACTGAATATTATTGACAGATGTCTAACCTCTCTGAAACCACCGAAATCAGCTGTCACTATGAAACATTCATAACAGCCAGAGCCATCTTTTGAAAACGAACTAATTTGTACTTCCAATACATGTCTTCTCTTCTTTTGTTTCGGACCGATGTGACGTTCTTTCAGCACATTAGGACATTGCGCGATCAGATTTACGAGGCGCGCGATATGAGAGGTGTGCCACTACTGGTAGTCGGCAACAAGCAGGACGAACTGTCGCAAGCCGTCGCTTCCGGGACCAGGTACCGGGATATCGTCAACCTCGTCCGGAAGCACTGGAGGTGCGGCTACGTCGAGTGCAGCGCCAGATTTAACTGTCGCGTTGTACAGGTACGCACTGTCCCTCGCTCTGTTCCAGCACTCACGGGGATGCTCTGGAGTCGATATCTTTACCCACGGAATACTCTGTTTTTTTTTTATAAAGTTGTATTGGCTGCACAGAGTCACAAATGCTCTTACACGAAAAGTATGTGCGAAAATACGTTGAATTATTACTCAATATTATGGAATATTGCTGGATATGCAATGAGAACGATAAAAAGTTTCGAAGTTAATATTTCGAGCGTGAATTAGCCTGTTAGACGCTGTCAGTTGAAGCAAATATTCGCTCGATATACAGAAGATCTGTAGCTTGTATATACTAAACGCAAGTTTACTTCGCTCAGAAAAATTTCAAAGAACATTGCTGCACCTTTACACCTGAATTTAGCAGCTTAAAAGTATCGGGAAAGCTTGCAGAAAAATTTATATACATGCTTGGTTAGATTTACGTAAGATCTACAAAGAATATACAAGGAATACGATAGAGTGAATATGTTAGCAACGATCATCTCTATGTTATCGACATTTTTGGAGTTCGTCATCGATTCTAGCATTCCCTTGAGGGGATGCCAAAGTGGACGGCAAGCTCCAAAAATGTCGATAGACATAGTAGAGGCGATTGTCAAAACGTCAAATCAGATAAGCACCAATAGCGTTATCCTTTTCGCATTTCTTATAAAAATAGATCTTATATAAAAGTATGCTGTTTTGCTTTGACATATATAGCGGAAAACGTAAGTATGCATATGTAGAAACATTTCTGCAAACTTCCCCGTATATTTTCAAGCTTCTAAATTTAGTTGCAGAAACGTTCCCTGACATTTTCCTGGGCAGAGCAAACACACGTTCGGTATGTACAAGCTGCAGAACTTTTGTATCAAGTAAATATATATTGTAACTGACAGTTCGAGATAAATGTTCGCGCGAGTCAACTTTAAAATGTTTTATCGTCCTCGTCACATATTGAGCAATGTTCCAATGCACGTACTTTCATTTTGCAAAAGCACTTGTGATCTTGTGCAACAAATATTTAAATTTTGCATGTAAATTTTGCAAAAAAAGGTCAGTATTTTATCGATAAAATTTTCAAGTATGGCATTCCCTTGAAATGTTGGCAAGAGAAGAACTCGCAAGTGAGGAGTCAGTGTTCCTCAAATGTTCATCAGCCACGCCTTGATGTTTCACAGGTATTTCGGGAGCTAATGAAGAGCATCCAAGCGATAGAGGGTAGGCCAGCTTCGCCGTCGCTCGCCCCTTCGCAACCGATGCGATCTCATCCTCACGACACCAGCGAGAAGTGCATTCTTCTCTGACATTGAGATTAGAGAACTTTCGCGCTTTCGAAGCGAGACTACGAATACACGAGGCGAACCATTGATCTCGCGGGATCATGAGTGATCGATGGTAATCGTCGAGTGCACGATATCAGGGCAATGAAGACCTCGACGTTCGTGTCGCGCTCGTGGCGTATCGATCGACGTGAGCGATCGAGAGCAACGGAGACCGCGCGAAGATGACGAGGTTTCTCATCAAAACCGCCTGTGTCGTTGCACTCGCGCGTGTACGAGTGGGTGGACGTGATTTCAGAATAAGCGACAATAATAATCGGAATTTCCTATGTAAGTCTATTTCGCCGAGGAACGCGAAAGCAGCAGCAATTCCGCGAACTTGAGTATATCGAAAATCCTGCGCGACTTGGCAAAGGGGTAAGAAAGATCTCTACGCTTTTCAACATCTCGACGTGCCCGCCTTCTCGCGCAAGTCCTCTCATTTACTTTTTCTCCTTCGTTCTTCTAACATGTAAGTCACGTGATTGTAATTCACGCTGAAGCAGATCAGGGGTCGTGAAACGACGCGGGGCTTCAACCACGGTCGACTTTCACACGCGACAAAAGTCGTTTTCGCGCCTTTGCGCGTCCATCGCGATTAAATGTCGATTTCAGTTCCCGCAGCGACGGAGCTGGTGCCAAACCAAAGATTAGCGGTCGACATGTGATAACGCCAAGACGACGGATTATCAACGCGCAAAAAACCACAAAATTGTACGATATCAAACAAGGCGTGGGAAGGTGAATCGCGAAAGTGCAGCGCAGAATTCTGTTTAGCTCAACCTTCTCGCGCTGCATTCGGCCTAATAATATCGATGTTTTGAGCGGGCAGAGAAAGAGCGAGAGTGAAAGCAAGAGAGCAAGCGAGAAAGATAGGACGAAGCAATAGTACATATACATATACACATACAAATATATTTTACTATGCTGTTAAGAGTTAAACCGACGATTGAGCGTTAAACAGTTAATCATTCGCGTGCGACGTAACCGTTGACACACCGCGAGATGTTATCACACATACAGCATAGATTGTACCGGGCATGTAGCGTGTGTGTATTAGCGTTGTTACCGTTTGTATGTATTCTAAGAGGAATGCAATATACGCATATGTAATATTTCGATCTTAGGTCGTGTGGCGCAGGAAGAGCAGCATAGAATTCGTTACGATGCGACCTCACGACGCGCAATTAGTTCCATCGCGATGTGCTGTTATCGCGTGCGTAGAGCACCACACTCTAGCAATAGGATGTTATACACATATACACACACGCAGACGCATTACTGTTTGTTACGTTTATGCGCTCGAGCAAGCTGAAGAATTGTTGTACGGCTCAGCCAACGGCATCACGTTACGAATAGGTGAACGCTCAACTTCCAATTGCGTGCGCGCCCGCGCGTACGTGAGTGCAGATCAAAACAGGAAGAACGTTTTGTAATAACGCAAACATGTGTTCGTCAAGCGTTCCTTGTCGGGACGAATATTGTAGGCGACGTAATACCGATGACTCGGCACGAGAGTTGCGACTGGAAAAGGGAGAAAGAAGACGGATTTGAAGGTGCTTTTGTAACGCGACACCACACACCACTGAGCGACTGCGGGACGCGGTGATTATTCTGGAATTGTAACTCTCCGAGCCGTCGGTGTGGCGTGTAATGCAAATATTACGAGGTACTAGGAACTATTACGAAGTGCGATAGTAGAAGTGCGATACATTATACGTACAATCTTTACAAACGATATGTGATCTCTTATTTTGTATGCACATGCACGATCTTCGCAATAAAAACCGGCGAGACATTGGCGTGAACAAGTCTTCTCTATGCGCACGCGTTTTTCATCCAGAGCCAGATTTTTCTATTAGTATTCCCGCAGATATTCTATTATTAGCATTACTTTCGTCGACACGTCATGAATGTATTGACAAAGAAAAATCGAACACGAGAGAAGTACAGTCGAGAACAAAACGGTTTAAACACCTTTGAACAGTTTGAACATTTTCTTTGTTTGGGAAACACCCTACCAACACTATATAGCCCTAACGCGTCATTTTGTCTTTGCCGAAGAACAATGAAGATAGAATAAAGCAGTACCGTTGATAGCGCGCTCCCTAAACACTATTCTGATAAAGTCTGTAACTCACTTGGTTGTCACATTCGCCCGAGATGACAATACGTGGTGCAAAAATGGATTTTATCAAGGCAACATGAAAATATATTGATATATCCGAGAGTATTCCGGGTTAAATCGTTACAGTAGCTCGAAAAATTGAAAAATTTCGTGCTTTAAATATAAGAGACATCCGACGGCATGACCTAGACTGGACATCCAAGAAAAATGCAAATACGAAAGTAATGCGCGCGCACGAGAGAGAGAGAGAGAGAGAGAGAGAGAGAGAGAGAGAGAGAGAGAGAGAGAGAGCTACTTATTGTTAGCACAGCTTCTGTCATAACTGAGCAAATCCATGAGTAGTTATCCTCAAATGTGACAACTAGCGAATTTTGCACTGAGTAAGACTTATTCATAATCTGTTTTTCATTTAAAACGTCTTGAATACATCTTCAAATACTATACTTATTAGCCAGTAAAATGATACAACAGGTCTATACAACATCCGTACGTGGATCGTTTTGTTGGCTAAGAAGTTTATGGAAATGTATTTAAGACGACCTTAAACATAAGAACAGACTATGAACAAACTTTAGTGTGCACTCACTAGTGCAAGCGGCCGAATTCGCCACAACTTCATTAGAAAAATAGTTCTCCAACCGTTTTGCTCTCGACTGTACATACAAAGCTAAGAAAAAAAAGAACAGCAAAGTCGAAAACACTCTCGATCCTGTTTTCTGCTTAAATTACAAGTGTCAAGATGCGAGCTGAAGAAACGTAAAAATTTTCCGTTCAATTCCGTCCGGTGGATCTCGGTGGAAAGTTTCCACGCTAGCTCGCGACACTCTTCTATCCTCCGTGATTTGTGCATTATCGCGAAAATAGCTGTTATTGCGAAAGATGTCTCACCTGTCGAGAGGATTCCGGTGTCAAAGAGCTCAGCTAACCGTTCTGCGCGACAGGAGGATGAATTGCATCACACGCGGCGATGGAAAGGCTAACTTCGGAACGGGAGAACGGCGCATATTGACGGTTGGAGTTGATTTATCGAAGTATGAGAGGCTGTGTGCGACCTCGCGAATTCGCCGGGAAAAACTCGGCGGTCGCGGTGTTCGCGAGTGTTGAACATAGCTCTGTTCCGTTCTGAAGTAACATACAATATTCGAGATAGATGCATCTCTAACGCAGAGCGATGAACGTAAAATCTGTCGTCTCAAGACGAGCAGGACGAGAGGAGAGCCCAGCACGAGCGAGAACCTGAAGGAAGCTCTGAGCGAAAAGATCCCCCTGTATCACGATCTCCTGAGGAGTTTCCGACGTCATCACGGCCCGAGTATCATCAGTCACATCACGGTCGACGACTTGTACGGTGGATTAAGCGGCGTGAAAACTATCGTCAGGGAGACCTCGGAAATCGACCCTAAGCGCGGCGTAACGTGATTTGAATTTATTATCGCGACTTTTTCGTAATAAAAACGCTCTCGTAGAGTTCAGTCGCATTTTACATCCACTTTTTAATAATCTAATTTTGTGCTTTTTCACACGGGGAAAAAAGGTCGGTTGAATTAACGTGACACATGACTAAGTGCACTTTGGTTGAAAACAAGGCAGAATTTTTGGTTCTTAACACGTTCACTACCAGCATCACACACACATATATATATATAATGCAATGCTTTCTCACGAGATCAGCGTTATATGTCAGACGATAGAAATTTCTTTTTCTATATCCACATTATCAAACTAAATCTACTTTACACAATTACATAGATAAAAACATGCAAGATGATTTGGAAATTGTTTCGAGGAAAGTCTCACGAGTAAATCTTAATAGTGAACATCTTAAGAAATGAATTTGATTCTTACATATAAGTTCCAGAATTTGTGCTTTTTTTTTCCAAGCAAAGTTCATTGTCATATCAATACAGCCGATCAACATTGCGTTGCGAGTCGCAAAGTTTCTTCAAGCATTCGCGGCGGAACACCGCCGAGATTCGTTGCCAGATTCTGCGAATTCAATTTCCAGATTGTATATCGTGGACTGACTATACCGGAAGTGATCGCCCTGCTGCCTCGTCGAGGAGGCTCGCCGAGCGCGGAAGCCGTTTTCTGGCTACTCTTAACCGGTGACGTTCCGACGCAGCAGCAGACGGCGTCGCTGATCGCCGACTGGACGTCACGACGTGAAAAATACGTCGAGTGGTGGTCAGGACCACGGGGCGAGAGGGTGGTTTCCGTGCTGCGTTCTCTACCCGAGACAATTACGCCCTTAGGCAGATTGTCGGTCGCACTCACGATTCTCGACGTCAGCAAGTACGCGAAGGAGGCCAAGAGACACGGCGCTATGCCGCACACTTATTGGGAGGTAGCCATCCAGACAGCACGAGCCTCTAAAAGACGTTTTAAAGACGTTTGAAGGACGTGCAAAAGATGTCGAAATAAAATAGAATGTCCCTCGGCCGTCTTCGAGACATTTTTCAGAGGTTTGCGCTGTCCGGGTAAAGCATGCTTGGATATCGCGCGAAAACTCGTGCATTTTTAATCGTGCATTATTTCTTGAGATTCATAAAACATCGCAAGATATAATATATGGGAAAACTGTTGATTTAGAAAAGCCACAATGCAAGTGACGTTCTCGCGGAAAATAAATAATACAGGCACAAACCATTAAGATAGAATGATAAAATGATAAAAGCGCGAATGCAAGTAAGAAAATTTGTACGAAAAAATATGAAAGTCTTTAAAAATTAAAAACGTTGCATTCCTCGTAACGTGTTACTCTCCACAAAATAACGGCCGACAAAGAGTAAATGAAAATAATATTTTATTTGTACAAAACTTCCGTTTTATTATATGGAATTTAACTGACGCGTCGTCTGTTATTTGGCTTCAAGTATATATATGAAGACAGTATGGAGTTCCTAGCAACGTTACCAGCGATTATCGGTCTGGTTGCAAAGGGACAAATAACGACAAACGTGAGCAGTGACAGTGATTGGGTGCAATTCTTATTGGAATGTTTGACTAACGTGATAGAGAACTTCGACAGCCGAAAATCGTTGATCGCTGACTTTCTCAGGCTGTACGTCACTTTGAACGCGTAAGTTCAGCCATGGATTCGCGATTGTTCGCATATTATGAATTTCTGTATAATATAAGTATAAATTTTATATATTATATACAGAGAGATCATACATTATATAAAGAGAAAAAAGTCTAGGCTTCCAATATGTCTCTAAAAATATAAGAGCAGTTGTTTACTTGAAATATTTAAAAGATGAATTATATAAGAGGTAGAGCGATCAGTCAAGCGCGGTGATCTTTCGAGTAACTAATAATAATTGCGACACAGGTATGTGTCGTTTGTATAAATAATAAAACAGAGAATAATCGAAAAATTTCATCAGTGACGACGATGGCGGAGCTCCCGCCGCGCATATCACGCAAATTTTAGGATCGACCGACCTCAATATAAACGAGGTATTGGCGAGCAGCGCTTTGGCGTGCGCAAAGGAGCCTGCGAGCGGTACTATGCTAGAGGTAATTGTACAGAGGGAAGAATACTTGAAAATTTATTTTTGGGATACGAATTTTATTCGTAGAATTAAACTTTATTTCACAGGAACGGTCTTTATATCCCAAATAAATTTTCAAGTGTCTCCATCTCAACGCGGAAGTCGTGTTATACGAGTCATCAAAAGTCAATATTACAAGTCTTTAGAGATAAAACTAAAGGTGGAATCTTTAATGTGTTTACAAATATATTTACAAACGACAGTGGGAAGAATTGCAAATGAAGATTAGAAACGCGCTCGGTCAAACGTGGACGGAACATTCTTTGATAGATCGCGTGCTGAATTTGTGCGACAAGGACACATTGGTAGGACACAGAAAAGCGGAATGTTGCGATCCGCGTTACACGGCCCTATTGAATTACGCCAAGCAATATTTGCCAGATAATCCCGAAATAAAGGTATGTATCACAATCAGTAAAGAAATATCGATCCCGCGTTAAGGCTCTTGATCCCTCGCATCGTCTATCTCTTTTTAATGACGTCAAAAAAATGCATGCTAAAAATTCTTGCGAAATACGTTGAAATAAATATGAAAGATATATCTATGAAGTGACACTTGCAATCGATTAAATAAATCTGTGAAATGTTCCGTGCATTCCTCTTTTGCTTTAATGATCAATAATTTGTCATAAATTAACGTGACATACACTTCATCTTCTCAATCTATTTCTTTGCATTCAGGTTAATTTACAATTAACCTATTATCTACAAAAAATTATTGTAATTTGATTGTTAAAACAAAAGGGGAGTGCACGGAATATCTTATAAATTTGTTTAATCGATTGCAAGTGTTACTTTATATTATTTTTATTTCAACGTATTTCGCAAGAATTTTTAGCATGTATTTTCTCGCTTCTGATGTCATTAAAATGAGATAGACAATGTGAGGAGCCAGGAGCCTTAATGCTCAAAATAAAATTGAAACCTTCGCAGTTTTCGCAGGATATCACGCGAATACTGAGATCAACGACGAACAGATCAAACGGAAAAGATATTTGCCCGGAACAAAGCGTGATAGCCGCGCCTATTTTCCAGGTACATCAAATATTTCAATATTTTTTCGTGTTTTCCCAGCGTACTAAGCGAAAGTCAACATGAAAGCGCGAGGTCTCGTTTAGCGCGCGAGAGCTCGACTGTACAGTCTCTATGTTTTCTCGGCTAAATTTCCGCCTTGATCATTCAGAATATATTGTGACGACTCACCTTCAGTCCTTAGGATTGAAAGACATGAGGCTCAATCAAACGATACTTTACATGGCGCGAACCCTGGGAGCGATCGCCTCGATTATCTGGTCGAAAGTTGTAAATGCGCCCGCCGAGCATCCGGTATCCAAGTGCACTCATGGCTACATAGAGAAGATACATGATAGAAAGAGGAAGCGACAACACAGAACGCACTTGCGAAAGTAACCTTCGACTTACCGATCTCAGTCGCTTGCTCCGACGATTTGTCTACTCGCTACTTTACACTCGAGTCAAATTGTTCGCGCAACTTTACTGCCTCTCTTTGAACGATATAAATTGTATCTTAACTTTAGCGAGATCGCAGAACTTGAACGCGCGAGTGAGCCGCTCTCCGAATAACGGAGGCTTTCGCGACCACGCGTGCGCAACCATTGCGCGGGCAATTTTCACGACGTGGCGCCATCTGTGATGTAGTTTTGGTATTCTTTAGGTGAAGTACATTTATCGACGCAGCGTCGATAATCCCGTGCACAATGCACAATGCTAGGTAACAGGCAATAGGAATAGGCATTAGCCAATATATATAGAAATAATTGACCAATCCGAATTCCAATTTCCACAATTTGCTTTATGCCCGTTTCTATCAACTTTGATGGTTAATTTAATCAGCTGGTTATTCCAATGGAATTAACCAATCGCATTTCTCATTAGTCAGAATTGACAGATGCGATTGGTCAATTCTGTTGGAATAACCAGCAAGTTAAGTGAACCAAAGTTGGTAGGAATGGGCATTAAATTTTAATTTGTTAAAGGCCTATCCAGGCAAATTTACACAGTCGCATTTGTTCCCATTTTCACAGTCAATGAACTTAGGCCAGCAAACAGCAACAACACATGCATAGTCGCATTATTCATATGCACAAAGAAATTAGCTGACCCAATGTAAATCATGTCTAGTATAAGAGACATCCCTTTATTGTACAAATCACGATTGGTTAATTTCATCGTGCATATAAATAATGCGACAGTGCAAGTTTGACTGGATAAGCCTTTAACAAGTTAAACTATAGTTAAAATAAGTTGTGGAATACTGAACTTAAATGCACTCGCTATCTTTTCCTACTTTTTTTTCACTCATTCTCAGAGCGAAACGTTAGTCGCATTTTGCACGCAGGAAATGCATCGAAACTAGGTAAAACTGATATAATAGTATATAAATCTCACATAGATTATATTTAACGAGTATTTTGCGCAAATGAACACTTCTCGGAAGCATTTGAGTATTACTCTCGGCTGAGTAAGGAAAATAAATTAAGGTTGCGTTCCAAAACGTCCTTTTTTAGGAAATTTTATTCGATATTCTATAATATATATAACGTGAACTATAGTTATTGAGTACAATAACTACAAAAGAACGTTTTGGAATGCAACTTAAAAATGAAATATATGTAAAACATAACGAGCTGCACTTTCAAGTGCGGGAACAATTTTATTACGCGTGCTCGATGAAACTCCAATCGACGTCGACCAAATAATCGCAAAGAAAATGGCGTGACAATTGTGTGTTCTCATGTCAAAATTATGATTAATGCAAATTTGGTAGAGTCGGTGATAAGCATTCACTGGGATAAACACGTATTGTGACGAAACGTACACTTGTTGGATTCTCTGACTACGCCATCCTAAAACGAAGAGATGAACTATTTTCAATAATCATAACGGAATCGCAGTGTGGTTATATATCACGCGGTAAATTTCTGGAATATCTTTAGAATCCCTAATTAATCAACATGTATCAGCTGCCATTTAATATTCTCTTATCTTTAAAACTGCTGACATATGACACGTGTTATTTTGAAAGTTATACTTTAGATAATACAATATTACAATGTAATGTTTAAATCGTACAAAGTTCAATTTAGTAAGCTAATAATGAAATAATATTGCTATGTTTTGTAATATGCAAGATTTTATATCTGCTGGGATATCCTTATTATTAAAAATATTTTGTATGAGCTGTGTATTGCTCATGATTATACATGATAAATATTAGAAAATATGTGCATATGTGCAGAAATTTTGTCATTAGAGTTAAGTGTTGAATTATTTTGCAGGTAAAATATGACTGACAACAGGCCTATAGAAGGAGCAGCAGGGATAAATTGTGACCCAGCTATGTCGCATGTGCCAAATCCAAACGAGAATAGACAAGATCAAGCAATACCAAGTAGTAATCACTTTAATCACTCCACATTGCCAAGCATAAATCCTAGAACAGCATTTAACTTTGGTGCAAGAACAGCAGAACACTCTAGAATACTTGCTGATAATATATCCTCCACGATTCGTCCTTTCATACAACATGCAACAGTATGTACCATCCAATTAATTCACTAATGTGGCAATGGTGTTCCACTCTAATGCTTCTTTTTCCTGCAACAGCCTAGCATATCGTTAACATCACTCCTGATGCACGGATTACAGTATCAAGTTCGACCAGTCCCGTTGCCAAGCCACAGCTATGTAATCAATTTGGAGGAGCATCCGACGAATAGCACAGCTACTCGCAACGAATCTGTCCGCGAACATCATGTGCACGAAGCCACAAACATGGTCGCGGAGATGCAAAATAATAATAACAATAACGCCGCGGAAAATAGCGTTATAAACAACAATGACCAGATCAGTCCGGAGACTCGTGCGATGCTGAAACTACTGCAGCAGTACATTCCCTTTCTCTTCATTCTCTTCACTAAGATCTTTTATGACCACAAAACTGGAATACTGATGTTCGTTGTATTGCTCGTCACGTTTATGTACGCCAACAATGGTCTCAAGCGTGAAATTGCCAAGCAGAGTAACCGGAGTCGCTGGTTACTTCTGCTGATCCTGTGTTATATCACCGCCTGCATCGCGTTCGTCGCTTACACGCTCGAACTGCATACACTCGCTCCTTACGCCCAGCCGCTCACGATATGGGACTTACTATGTTATGTCATAGTAATGGATTTCTTCCTCAAACTTATAACGATTGTTTGCAAAGTGCTCCTAACTTGTCTACCAGTTCGATTACTGGCATTTCAGAACCGGGTAAGTGCTTAACTCACGTTCTTAATTCTTTAGTGTATAGTTACTAGAAAAATTCACTACTTATTATTATAACATAGGAGATTTGCGGATGAAATTCATCTGATTATGTTCATGGTAGACATCATTATATGATTACCACAATAATAATAAATGTCGTTATAAATTATACGTGCACTTTGTACATGCAATGCGAGATATAATTACAAATATAAATATTTAAAAACTTTCAGGGAAAGTATTATCTGTTGATGGAAGCAATGTCTCAGCTTTATCGGTGCGTTGCTCCCATTCAGCCCTGGCTGTATTATTTATTTGAGACGTACCAAGGTCCGGAAAAAATCGTAGGGATTCTCTTCTCCTTGACTTATACTTTTAGCAAAGGGAACGATTTATTGCCACGTCTGAAGCTGTTCCGTACTGCTATATGGAAACTCTTCCAAAATGTGGTATGCTCAATACAGTGTATTATAATCGTATTTTGCGAAGCTCGTAACATTATTACATCACGCATCTACGTATCTTTTTGTAGAACTTAGGAGTATCGCCATCGAAGGAACAGGTGATCGCGTCCGGCGGCATATGCGCTATTTGCCATGAGAAATATTCCACGCCGGTCAGGCTCCATTGTAAACATATATTTTGTGAAATGTGTATCTCGACGTGGTTGGATAGGGAGCGATCGTGTCCGCTGTGCCGCGCGTCCATCACAGACGATCCGATCTATCGGGATGGCCATACAACACACTTCATCCAATTGTATTGATTGATTTTCGTATCTCTTCTTGTACAGTTTTTTATTACTATGTAAAAAATGTAAGTTTCTATTAACGCAAACATTCTCCTCATTATCACCGGCTACAATTGACAAGTTCTTGTATATGTTGACAAAATTTAATCACCGATGTCAAATTCATTATGTTGTATATTCATATGTTGTAAAAAAGAGCTTATAGTTCCAAGTCTATAAATATTTGAACATACAATGTTCTAGAATAATGGTGGGCACGCGTATAAAGATCGTATAATAAATCTTATAATTAAATGGAAAAATAATATTAGAGCAAGAATAATGAAATTTTTCTTTATATGGTAGAGATTAAGAAAGATATAATTCTGACGAGTTTGATTCGCGATCTGTAAGTATGTAAACAGTTTCTCATGCCAAAGGTGGTTTTATCTGCATTACTTATCCGTTATATCTAGAGATATTATATCTAGAGATCTGGACTCACCAAGATTATATCTATATTAATCTTTGCTCTTTACAGATATGTAAGAAATATTTATATAGATTATCTCAGATAAATCGATATCCAAAAAACTACAACCGTCCTTTCAAAATCCGTTTTTCTAGATTAATGTATATAGTTATTACGGAAGAAGGATGTACCATAGAAATATCACTTGAGCTACGTTCAATGAACACATCGGTTGAGTTAGTATATTATCGAAATATCCTTTCAGATCTATTATGAATCTGAAAGAATATTTTAAGTAAAGGCGATAATCACTTAACGGTTATATAACCATTGTGTTCTCTGAACGCACCTTTTGATTGTTTGACACGGTCTTGTCTTCCTTAAAGTATAAAATAGCATGTAAGATTAATATCATAATTCTCGTCTCTGATATATAATGTTAATGTACAAAGTAATAATAAATAAAGGTTGCAGTCGTTATAAAAGTTTGGTGCACAGTTTTTGTACATTCTATCCGTCGTATAGGATAATTTGCAGAGCTTTCTTAATGTCTTAACAAATTGTATACGGATAATTTTATATGTACAGATACTTAAATAACGCGTGTCATTGAATTCAGTACAAAGCGTTACGTCGATATACAACGATGTTGTAGAAACTATATGTAAACGAACGAAAATACTATTGAAAATGACGTATCAAAATACTATATATACGTCACATCTTAGCTGGATTCAAGTGAACTCACATAGATCTCAAAATCCATATTTTAGGTCGATAATAAGTACATGAATACATACATATATCGTTTCTTTCTAAATAAAATAATTTTTAGAAATCTTAATAAGCGATACAAAATTTAGATGTAACATCTAGAAATTGATTCTTAGATAAAATAGACATTTTCCCAGGAACGATGGGTCGAGATTGACCCGACGTCCACTATACGCATAATTTTCACGTCATCGACTATTTAAAAGTTAAAAATATTAAATTTAAGATGTTCACTGACAATTCAGAAAGTCATAATTCGGTACATCTTCGAACTGTTGATTTTGCGTATTAGCTGGTGCCATTGGTCTTGCTGCTATCTGTCCCCTTGGACCGACTTGGATTTGTTGTTGCACTCCGAAAACTTGTCTATATTGAGGTTGTGACTGCAACGAAGAAACATTAATTGCAATGTGCATTTGATTTGCACGCATATATAAGGGAATTAACGTAAATAAAGTTTATTTTCTTACTTGTTGTAATAAGTGTCTGAGACCAATACTGTTGGTAGAGATAGGACGCATCATTCTTTGAGCGTTCGCCTGTTGGTTAGACATGGCAGCTGGATTGATGCCTCTTTGTGCCTGTTGTGCCTGTAAAGAAACCATGTTGTTTAGAAAAATTTTGAGCAGTACCTCTATATCTATATATAATATACTATAGCAAAATTATTTGTCGTCAAGTAAAAGTTAAAGATTACCTCAAGCTGCTGCTTGTATTGCATTTCTTGTTGCTGTGCCACTTCCAGATTTTGTTGAATCTGTATAATAAATGCAATTATATTTATATTCAAGAGTTAATAATCATAAAAATTCATAATTTAAGAACATATATTTACATTCACTTCCAACTGCGACTTATATTGCGCTTCTTGCTGTTGAGCAGCCTCTAATGTTTGTCTCAGACGTTGAATTTTTAATAGATTTTGATGTCTGGCGATCTCTAGATCATCAAATTGAGGCCTTTGTTGGGTTATTATACCTCCAGCACTAACGTTTGCCTGTGGTCCACTAATACCGCTGTTCTATAAATGTAACATGCGATACGTAACATTTAATACCTCCAAATAAATTACTTTGCTATCTATAAATTCATACTAGCGTTACTAGACTCGCATTACCTGCATATTCATTTGAGGAGCACTGCTAGATACAACACTTTGCGTTATCTGAGCACCACCCATCGCCGTAGTGTTCGTTTGGGACATAAGAATACCTCCCTGCGCACCTGTAGTAGGCATGGGTGCTGGAATTGTATTCCCTGGTCCAGGATTGCCCTAATAGAAACACAATTAATCTTCAATGCTTTCATTCTCTCGATCTTCCGATTCTCAAAAATTTGAAAAATAACTTGTTCCTTGTCATCGTACTTACTTGTGCTTGCCTCATAGAGGCATGAGATGATTTCTGCTGTTGTATTACTTTACGCAGGCGTTCGACAAAAGCCGTTTGATCATTTGGAATAAAACCTAAGTACGATTTTTTATCCGCGGTGTATAAGAGTATGAGCACTTTTATCTCGCAAGCTGAACTTGATGAAGCTGAGGTAAAATGGACGCAACCAGCCTAAAAAGTATGCATTCCACAGTTTAAAAAAATATTATATTAATATATTAAATATAAAATTATTATAATATATTAAAAAAATTCTTAATATACTTACAAACCCGGCGGTCATCACTTTTGTTAAAGATTCCAATGCTTCGCACGGTGTTGGGTGGAAAATAACGGACTTGGAATTCTTTATATAAGAGCCGCCGATATTTCCTATCAACTGCTTCGGCATCAATTGCATTATTAATTTTGGTGGCCATGTATCCGCTTTTCTGAAGAATAAAAATCATGTAAGATAGAAGCAACATTGATATGATTGGTATGAGATACAATATGATAAATATTATAATAATTTAATCAATATTATAAGTACGGTAACTCACAATTCTGGCTCTCCGTTTTTAAAATTAGCCGATACATGACACGGAACGTGTCTTGTCTGTTTTTGTGTATCCGCAGGATTTTTTGCCTTTTCTAACCATTCTAGAACACCTTGCCAGATGTTCTGACGTTCACGTTGCACGTTCAATTGTTGGCCTTGCACAGTGCCAGTGGCTACATTTCCCTGGAATATCATAATAGAAAAATTATATAAAATTTATTCTTTTATATACAGCAAACTTACTATACACAAGTATATCTCGTTTAGTTACTTGTGCCTGTGGTGGAGCAATCTGTTGCGTTACAGAGGACGCTGAGATTGGTGCTTGCGAAACCGCAACAGTTTGTGGCACTTGAGTGGGTACAGATTGGCTCATAGAAGATACGGTAAGCTGTGACCCTGGCTGATTGTGAGTCGATTGGGCGGCCATGGACATTACAGCTTGTTGCTGGGCATTTTGCTGCTGTAACTGCATCGTTAATCGCAACTGTTGCTGTTGTGTAAGTTGTTGTTGCTGTTGTGGATTAGGCGCCATAACATTATTGCTACCTGCAATGGTTATATCAGAAATTAACAACACAATTTGGAAGCAACAAAAATATATGTAAGAGTCTACAAAAGACACTTAAGTTACTTTTACTCGTCTTGTAAAAATAAATAGCATGTAATATATATATATATATATATATATATATATATATATATATATATATATATATATAGAGAGAGAGAGAGAGAGAGAGAGAGAGAAAGAGAATAATACTAAAAAAAAAAAATATATATATATCGTATAAGTTTGTAGCACTAGATATTCATTGCGTTATTTATATAAAAATACAATATGTTGTTAATATTCTTTTACTTTTATATAACTTCTTATAATATAAACACAATGACGTGTGTACTGTCAGCAGCCATATTTGATTCGAATATTCCTGGGCATTTCTGATTGGCTATTATTTTGGACGATAGTGCATCCACGGGACTGGTACACCTTTATATTTACATCATGCATGTAATACGAATGTCAGTATTCTTACCATCTAATCTTTGGCCAAATGTAGCCCCAACGTTTAGCCCCAACGAAGGCGGCTGTGTTAGTTGTGCTATCAATGCGCTGCTGTTTTGCGTATTTGCAGGCGCAGTTGTACCAGGTGCTACGAAGGGTCGCATCCATCTAGTAGCATGCGTGGTCCTCGGACCTAATGCAGTCGGGTGATAATTCGGTGGCGCGGCTATCTGTGGATTGTAAGGCGGTCGTGCAGCATTCATTGGAACTGCCATAGCCGGTGTCACGGCTTGATGTACAGAAGTGATATTCTGTGGTGCTTGATTTCTGAAGGGAGGACCTTGCGCTTGGCTCGGCGGAGCGATATTTTGCTGCACCTGGTTCGTGTTTGGGCTATCGTTACTCTGTAACGGACTCAGAGGAATTTGAGCAGCAGTAGCCGCTACATTATGAACGTTACCACCCATTACAGGACTAACGGGGCGTTCTTTCAAGTTGTAATTACGTAGAAGCACCAAATGTCGCGGATCTTTGGCATAATTTTTAGTTTGTGACGACTGCAAATCACCACCAGCTTTCTCAAATAACTTAAATAATGCTGGTATTTTCCTTGGTGATAAAATAGAGATGTTAATATTCCTCTGAAAAATAATACAAATATGTGTTGGAACTTATTTTTCAAGTACAGTTTATAGCTTGTAATACTTACAGCTGCATTACTTACCTCTTGATAAATAGCAGCTAGTTGTTCAATGGTATGACCAGCAAACTTGTAAGTTTCTTGAATCATAATTTGATATGGAGGTGAATTACATATTAAGATACAATGTTTTTGAGATGCTGTATTGGGCTCTCGTCTCAGCTGCAAATCTTCAAAACATTGTAATCCTGTTGCAAGACCTTCACCAATATTTGCATAGGATTCTCCCTTTCCACCAATCATTCTAGTGAATGTAACATAATACAGTTATATCATAGTTGATACTCTATACAATACTATTCATATAGCATTAAATATATATTTAATTTCAAGGATAATATATAACTAGATATTTCTGATTTATAGGATTTATTTGCACAATATAAATTATATATCCTATACTTACTCAAGTTTATCCAACATCATCAATAGCTTATGAGGATTTGAATAAGGTCCAAAAGTCTCTGTACAAGGTGCTGGCAAGCAATCAGCAGCATGATAAACTACTATTCCATACAATGTTGTGGTGTTCTGTCATACAAATGCCAGTTATATTATAATGCTATTTAAATTGTTATTTATTAAACTTATTTTATGAATACTATGAAAGCTATAAATTTAATATATCATACCTCTGAAACATATTCTCTATCCTCTATGACACCTTGATTAAAATATCTATAATATAGAAAATATAAGGATAAATTAATAAGATTTTATACAAACATAAAAAGATATATTATTTACATACATACATACATACATATATATATATATATATATATATATATATATATATATGAAATGTATAAAATATATTTGCAATTCAATACTTACTCTAATGTTGGTACAACATAACCAATTTTAAGATCATTAAGGTATGCGCCGTTAACAGCTGTTCCCTCAATAACAAATATAACATCAGCTTGCATTCCTTCGATAGGACCCATTACCATTGTCCTACAGTAAAAAAATTCTAATATAATCTAACTCAACATAATCTAACTAAATATAATCTATATATCTACATATAATCTATAATTTCCATTGAAACTTTCTTTTGTATATTCTTTTATTACATCCTAACCAGCTGACTTTATTTTACATATATAATAGTTAAATAGATTAAAATCAAACTCAATATTTGCATTTGTTTAAGTCAGTCTAAACTATATAGAATCAAAACTAACCGAAAGTAAACATAACCTAATCAATATTTGCAGTCTGGTACACTACACCTCGATTTCTTATCAAAGACATTAACGACTCGTAGCAAAGATTTTGGAACTAAAAAGAGTAATGAAGGATTCACACTCCGCGTCTGACATCCGAACGTATGACGATACGATATCCAATAACAGAGTTTCTTTATTAAAGTTTCTAGCTAGTGATATTTCTGTCTCCAGAAAATCAACTTTCTTATTGGATATCGTGTCTTATATTGGACGCAATATGAATCCTTCTAATAGCGTGTTCGGGCTGCATTCCGAAATGCACTGCCAATACTGAAATTCTATAATATACGTAACATGAACTATAAATTTTCAGTACTGGCAGTGCATTTCGGAACGCAGCCTCAATTTCATAGCGTGTTCGACTGGCCCTGGGTTAATCGCTCCGAGAGCGATTAATGACGTCATAAGTCTCTACTAGCCAATCTAATGCTACTGGACCATAAAGCCCGTATCATGGCTCCTGCACACAGGACCCGGTAATGTTTGCCGCGCGGCAGAAGTTCGCGCGACAGCTAATCAATATGCTACTTTCCGTAATAACCTTCTAGCTTTTACGGAAAAACAACATATTGATTAGCTGTCGCGCGGACTTCCGCCGCGCGGCAAACATACCGCGTCCTGTGTGCAGGAGCCATGATACGGGCTTTATGGTCCAGTTCTTATTATGAACACTACTTTAAGCTTAAATTGTATGAAACACCGCTAGATGGCATTATGCCTTCTTTAATGTCGCAAAAGTGCGACAAGTCAGTAAAACGGAGAGAGCGTAATTGTTAACTGGAAGTGTTATAAGGTTATCCAGAATACTTTTATATCTACATTTTATAAATAATATTTACACACACGGGTTTTATACATGTACAGTGTCTGGCGTTATATTTCTTTGTACATAATATTTCGTCAAATATGACGATTTGAAGTCTGTGAATTTCCAGGGTCGCGCAAGTGTACATACCGCGATTTTGTACAAAATTTCACATATTATTTGTAGTTTCTTTTATATTAATGTACAATGTACAGCTTTAATTAAGTAATACGTATGTTAACGAATATATGTGCCATTAATAATAAATATTTTATCTACTTAATAAGGTTATATTGTGTCTTCCGTGTGTTGGGCGTCTATTGTGATTATGTGGAGCATTCTTATATTTTTCACATTTTTTTACATTGTATAAATTAGATTTACAACAAATAAATTATACAAATAGCTTTATGTATAATTTTGGCTAAATTACTGCTTTATTATTTACTGATTTTATTATTTATTTATACTCATATGTTGAATTTTGAAAAAATATGAGTTATGTTTAAAATATACTTAAGCATCTTTTTTCTCTCTTAAGATTAAAGAAAAATGGCACAAAGATTTCCTGTACCAAATACAGGAAATAATGGACCTCCTCCTCAAAGATATCCACCATCATCGGTACCACCAAACTTACGCCAATATTCTGGACCTAATTTTCCGGTAAATGATTAATTCTGCATATAAAACAGATATTTTTAGATTATAAGTTCATATGATATAAATTTTATATATATAATTTATCAGCTACTCATATGTGTGTGTGTGTGTATGAGTAGCTGATAAATATAATTATAATTCTGTGTGTAGATGCAGCCAAGATCTGGTTTTACACCACCACCACAAATGAGCAATGCTGGACCTGGTCCTGGAAGCATAATGAGACCAAACCAACCTTACTCAAACATGCGTCAAGGGCCAATGCCTACACCTCCCGTTGGAAAGAGAACCACAGACCAACGTATCCCTATGTCACAGCAAAAACCGTAAATATAACAGATATTAAATTTTAGACAACAAAAGCATCTTTATTTTTGCAATTTATATATAAAATGTGTGTATTTTTATGTTACACAATATTTTTAAATGCTTATATTTTTAAGATTCAACCACGTATACAATTTATTTTTATAGATTTGATCATACAGTACTTTATAGATTTGTACCTTTATTGTGTTTCACATACAATACATATTGTTATAGAAATCTAATATTTGCAACTTAATTATTTAGGTACATTTATTGCAGTCCAGAATGTTTCAAAGTTATTTATAATTTTTGTATCTGTATGATTTTCAAATAAACTCATTTAAGTATTTTTGGAACAGTGATTTTTCACATTCCACGTCGAAGAAAAAGAAGAAATTGGCGGACAAAATACTGCCTCAGAAAGTACGAGATTTGGTGCCAGAGTCGCAAGCTTACATGGATCTGCTTGCATTTGAGAGAAAATTGGATGCGACCATAATGCGAAAACGTCTCGATATCCAGGAGGCTTTAAAGCGTCCAATGAAGCAGAAACGAAAATTGCGGATTTTCATCTCGAATACATTTTATCCAGCTAAGGAAGCTGGTGAGGGCGAGGAAGGATCTGTGGCATCCTGGGAACTTAGAGTCGAAGGTCGTCTTTTGGATGATACAAAAAATGATCCTAATAAGGTATAATATTACGCACATAGTATATCATAATTATAAGTCAATTTTATTTTTAATATGTAATATGATCTTTCGTAAAGAATGCACTTCCAATATGTGAAAAATAATAATAGCTCTACGTTATTTTTACAGGTGAAACGTAAGTTTTCGTCTTTCTTCAAGAGTTTAGTGATAGAACTAGACAAAGACTTGTATGGACCTGACAATCATTTGGTTGAGTGGCATCGTACATTGACTACTCAAGAAACTGATGGCTTTCAAGTTAAAAGACCTGGTGATAAAAATGTACGCTGTACTATACTACTCCTTCTTGATTATCAGCCATTGCAGGTATGTTTTTGTTTACATAAGATTGATCATCATCGTCAATTAATCTAATTAATCTTAACGTCATTAATACTGAAATTAATTCGATTGCAGTTTAAATTAGACCCACGATTGGCACGATTGTTGGGTGTACACACGCAGACGCGACCCGTCATTATATCCGCCCTTTGGCAATACATAAAAACACACAAGCTCCAAGATAGTCACGAGAGAGAGTTCATCAACTGTGATAAATATTTGGAACAGATATTTGCTTGTCCGCGAATGAAATTCGCCGAAATACCGCAACGATTAAATCCGTTATTGCATCCGCCCGATCCTATCGTGATAAATCATGTTATAAGTGTGGAAGGTAGGTAATGTGAAGCTATCGAAGATAATATCGCGATTAGAACTTGTGAGTAGAACTAGTGAGTATTACTGTTTGAAAAATAAATTCACGAATTGAATATCGTAATCTTATCATAAACTAAGACTAAGTTTCGATTACTTTAGATGTGAATTTATTTAGGTACAGAAACAAAGCAAACTGCTTGTTACGATATCGATGTAGAAGTCGATGACACTTTGAAGACACAAATGAATAACTTCTTGTTGTCTACTGCAAGCCAACAAGAAATTCAGAGCCTCGATAATAAGATTCACGAGACAGTCGAGACGATTAATCAATTGAAAACGAATCGTGAATTCTTCCTGAGTTTCGCCAAGGATCCACAACAATTTATCAACAAGTGGATTATTTCACAGACCAGAGACTTGAAGACAATGACGGATGTCGTTGGTAATCCAGAGGAGGAACGAAGAGCCGAATTTTATTATCAGCCATGGGCGCAAGAAGCAGTTTGTCGTTACTTTTACACGAAGGTGCAGCAGAAGCGGGCGGAATTGGAACAAGCGTTGGGAATCAGAAATTCGTAAAAAAATGATCGATAGTTTCTTATCGTAAAATTATGTAAAATATTCGTAAATGTTTATGCCTATTATTTGCAACACGGCGCTATTATATTTGATCTTTTAAGACTCCAGAGTACTCGCCACTCGTATGGCCACGTTGGATCATGACGTCAGAAGCGAAAATGATTCTGAAAATTTTTTGCGTGTTATTTTCAAATAAAAAGCTATTTGTATGAAAGAACATTTCATGTCGCTTGAGGATATTTGTAAAATACTCTGAAAACTATTTCCCTTGACAGTCAATAAATAGCCGTAAGATTAAGGTGATAAAATAATGAGAAAATACATAAGAAGTGTAATTATCAGTATAATTATATAATGTGTAATTATAAGTATAATTATATAATGTAATATTAGTTTTACGGTTTATTTGTTAATTGTAAAGGAAAAATTATAGTTTTCGGAGCATTTTGCATTTGAAAATGACACGTTAGAATTTTGGATATGCGTTTTTTCACTTCTAACGTCATCAACAAAGAATTACGCGGCAAGAGACCAGAAATCTTAAAACGTATATTTGTAATATGAATTAGATTTATCTAAATGGATAAAATGGCATTTATCTCTATTATACAAGATAAATTTTACGCATATATATTAAAATAAAAATATAGAGAAAAACAGCTTTTCTTTTGCGTACGTAATGAATCCTACGATAACGAATCTCGATAAAATTCTTATCCAAAGGAAAATAAATTCTCACGATGAGAGAGAGAGACTTCCAGTGTACCTTACGCAACAATTTTTTAGACTTCTTGTAGGAGACATTGATGTATTAGGCTTTCGCGACGTGAAGAAATGTTCGGTTTAGCTTCCGGGTTGCATCCTGTGTCCTTTGTGGATTCGTTTCCAACGTTTTGTGAATATTTCAGTTTGCTTCTTCAGAGAGAGCAGCGATCTGAAATTCAGGTTGTTCCTGAAGCCCTTAGATCAGATCGTTCCTTTCTCTAAAGAAGTGAACTGAAACATCAAAAATGCCATGAAGAACGCAAGTATCAATCCAAGAGCCAACCCAACCAACATTGCTTGATGATTTCTTGTAGTTTATCTTTACTGATATTTCATTAAAGGATATAAAATAATTGTATTTGAAAAGCTCAGTCTTTATGATAATTTATTTCTTCTCTTACCATAAATGCGATATCTCGTATAAATAAGAATAATTACATATCATTTTCCGTACCGTTGTACACTTTTACTATATCTCTCTAATGTATACCTGAAATCTTTCACCGTGATACTAACGTGTAGTGGCAGCATTCTGAAAAGAAAATAAACGATTACAATAGGTAAAATGCTAATTGAGCTGGAAAAAGTTTGCAAATATACTGGCTGGTATTCTTGTGGTTAAGATCAGAACTTACAAAAATTCTGTTGTCCTTGTATGCCAAGGTAGAACACCATATGTGGAACAACTGTGACCGTATATTAAAGCGAGATCAGGATCGGGCATCCCTTTTATTTGTAACTTTTCAGTGATTAGTTGGTCCGTGATTTCTTCCGGATCAAGTTTCCCCAAAGATACAGCTTTCGCCAATGATTTTGTTAACGTTACTATTTTCCCTTTACCATCTATGTTGGATAAGAACGATACATTTATTTTCGACCTGCTACCTGCAATTTAAACATTACGATATGAGTAAAAATTATCGAGAGGACAACGTTTATCTCGTTTATCTCATGATTCAGTATAGTATAAATATTTGACAGTTCAAAGTACAACATTATAAGAAAACAACCAAACAGCTAATGCTAATGACTTGTAGTCATTTTTACTCAAACGTTACGATAATTTTATCTACAGTTATTATGCAGCGTATGACGTGTCCTTCGTGGTGTATATAATTTTTGTTATCATCTCATTATCTATGTATAAGTTTGTTCGTTTTCAAAGAACTTCGGAACTAGTGCACGCTAACAATAAGTTAGAGTGAAAGAATTAATTATTTCACTCCAATTTGTTGCACTAGTGCAAAAGATCTTCGAAAACGAACAGATCTTATGACATACGTGACTAGAAAATGTTTTAAGACTTCTAAATATTTGCTACGCCAAAAAGTGACACACTGAAAAATCTTGCATATTATGTTTAAATAAACAATTATTTGAATGAAAGAACACTTTAGATTGCTTGAGCACATTTGTAAAATATTCTAAAAACTATTATTTTTTCTTAACAGTCAATAAATAACCGTAAAATTGACGTAATATGAAAAGGATAGTTTTCAGAGTATTTTACAAGCTCATGTAATCTAAAGTTTTCTTTTATACAAATATCTTTGGTAAATATATCGATTAGCGAACCTCTCTCCAATAATTCTGACCTTGATATTATTAAAAAGGCTGAATAACATACAAAAAGTTTCAAGTGTCGAACTTTGTTTATTACATTAACAAAACAAATTTAACAAATGTTACAGTTAAACTAATTCACGTCATTATGGTATTCCTATATGTCAAAAATAAGTTGTTCATTAATCTTTATAAGTTATATAATATATAACTCTGGTATAATTCTAAAGAATCAATTGGATACAGAATAATCAGAGTGGAAAATTTTCATTGGCGGATTCCATACATTCAATGTTTACTAAATTTCATCTTACTAAATTAATTAATCTATTATATACTAAAATTATGTATTCTACAAAGATTAGCAAAAGCTCCTACGCAAGATTTGGCTTTAGATATGCAATAAAATATATAAATAAATATTTCAGTGATAAATTATTGAAATACATATTTTATATAGGAGTCTTTGCTAATTTTTCAAAACCAATAATTTTAGTATATAATAGACTCATTATAATTTAATAGTAAGACAAAAGATTTAAGGACTAAATATATATTTATAAATAAAAATATTTCTAAATATTCAAGCAGGAAATCACATTTACATATTTAAATTTGTTGAACATTTATCTAACTTTTTTTGTTAATAGCTGTAACAAACAAGATCCGATGGTTGAAACTTTTTGTATGTTTTCTAGCATACTTTTTTTAATAATATATGTAAAGGTCAGAGTTGGAAAAGGTTTTATTAATTCGATATGTTTATCACATCTTTTTATATGAAAATGACACCAGAATTGTTTAGGCATATATATTTTTTCTTCTGATGTCATCAATTTCGCAGTGAGAAACCAGAAGAGTTTTAAAATTCACTCAAGTTAAAGTCACAATTTCAAAACTTTTGTTCTTGAAAATATAATTGAGAATTTTCATAAAAAAAGATATAGTATACTATACCAGTTATCCCATTTTGACTAGGTGTTTTTGTGTGTGAATTCCAGGTAATATATTCTATCAAATCAGGCCAATTTCTTGCAAACTCTTCTTTAAGACTGCTTTCATTTCTTTTGAAGAAACCTGTAAAAATAAGATAAACTATTTAAATATATGAAATTCAGTAAATTTCAACATTTATATACATTATTAAATATTGAAAAACTTGGAGTTTCTGCTGAATTATTTGCATTTGCAATGAAACTACAAGTTAGCTTCTTGTAAATTGATTTCTCCTATTTATGATTATAGAATTCGGTTCTTATAAACAAGCCCTTATATTCTTCATTAAGATATTTCAATATTACATGGAGTTTCTATATTGTATTATAATGATTAAGTTAATAACATTTATACAAGAATTAATATGAAATCAATATATGCCATATATAAGATATATTTTTATGAGCTCCTTACTAAAATATATTAGACTATTAAATTACCATGGTGTGTATTTGAAAGTATCTGCAGGTTATTGTAATATCAATGATGTTTCACATAAGGTGATAGCAAATTTATTTTCGTGTACACTTTATTTAAATGCAATATGTTTATGCATGAGTAGATTTACATTTGTATTTCACTTGTGAATCACATAAAAAGAAAAATGTAGTTATACAAGAACATAAAGTTGACTAAATATAAGACCATAGGATAAGAAATCAACACAATACCGAATCAAATCATGCAAAATATTCATGATCCAATAAAAAATAATGATTCTATTCTAGAACTAACTTAATTCCTTTGAGATAGAATAAAACAAAGCAGTTAAAAACATCAAAAATTATAAGATAAAATGTAATATTTTATCACAATACATTGTTGTGTAATATGATTGTGTTCTCATCATTGACTGTAATCTCACTGTGAAATATTATGACATTACAACAGTAATCTTAGTGTGAGATAATATTTCTATTTGACTATTGTGATAAGACTCACATTATTTATATAAAACATACTTTCATTGTGATAGCAAAATTTTTATAATGCATAATAACATAATTTATATATGAAATGATACTTAAAAGATTTGTAACATAGTATCTCAACAGTTCCAAAGTCCAAGTATAGCAAGATATTGCATTTGATTTAATGAACCACATATCTACAGAGAAACAAGTGGATATATCGAACATTTCGGCGCGCGGAACATACGTATGTAAACACGCACCAACACGGATACACGAGACGATAATATTTCTTTTCTCTTCACGCAATATCGCACGAGTCGCACACACAAATACAGACATATAATGATACTAAATCGTTTTACCATTACGGTCATAGAAGCTGATGTAAGGTATATCAAGTGTTATGCACCATCCAATGATACGCACACAGTCTAGGAGCGACTGCTGGTTCAGCGTGTGTATGATCACCAAGTGCTTCGGGATCTTTTTAGCACGTGCAAGTATATGCACGAGCGTATTGAGCTCCGCTGTCGTGTTCACGGTCGTGGCGAAGAGGTCCGCGTACAATCGTTGTAACACGATGCAGACATAACAGAGCGCGCCGTACAGACGAAATATGAGTACTAACATCGCGTATAACAGCGTGTACATACCGTTGGCACGATCGCGTTTCTATACAGCATAATCGTGTGTAGCGCAACAGTGTGGTATGACACGCGATTCGACTACGCGTCCCACAGTGTCACGAGGAGAGACTCGTGCTTTCGACGCTGACGCGTATCACACAGTGACCGATGAGCGCCGCTCACTGCGGCTGTGAGTCCCTCACGTGCACATCGCGCATACAGCCGGTCACACGCGCGACACCTGAGCGGGAACCTTGCGCGCCGAGAGATCGCCTCGTTACCGGAGACCTCCTTCGGCGACGCAATGCGTCATCGGTGTTATCGAGTACGGGTGACATGTCGGTATAACAGAGATTCGAGGCAGAAGAGAGATATTTGCGACCTACTTACGAATAAATAGGTGAATAGAGAGAAACATCTGAGTCCATTATGCAGTCTGTCTTTCTTGATATTGAGCGCAATCGCGACTTGAATATTTCGTGATCTTAAGTCTGTTCTTTTTAATTGAACTGGAGTTACATCTCAAAACTTCGTTCCTTTTTCATAATGCTAGGATATATATTTGTTTCTCATTCTAAAAGCAAAAATGCAACCTTATTCAGCCAAAAAGAACAGACTTGTCATTACTGAGCACGACCTGTCAAACGAGAAGTGTAGAGAAGCCAACATTGCTCGTGATGTCATTCTCGATGTTATCCCGGCGAGATCTGTGACAATTGCTCGAGAGATTAGTGTGAAAACGCGCGACAGAATATCTGATAAAATTGCAGGCTTCGTGGTTTTGACGTTTATGCACTGCTGTTCCTGTAAATAATACGTATGCTAGATAATAATAAAGATATATTAATGATAAATGTAACAATATTATTTGTTCATTTGGTAACACGTTCAGATAAAAATTTGCCGTGAGAGATTCGTCAGAACAACGCAATCTCAATTATCCACGATCGATGTAGTTTCTAAAGTTTATGACTCATAGTATATATATCTTAATATCAATTTGTTTTGGAAAAATTTTTACGTACGAAATACAAGTAAATCAGTCGATATAATAATATAGCGCGATTAATCTGCATAGTGATATGTTTGCAGCTGGAAAGAGTTAATCGCAATTTTTACATGACATCTGTCTTTTGAGACATAGTTTATTTTTGTTCGAGTTTACTGTCGATTTTGTTTAATACGTCTATTTTTTAATTCTAATTTATTTAAAAGTTTCACTTGGTGTTTCTATCTATCATCAGAATCATGGAGTGGTTGTTCGGCAAGCGTATAACCCCTGAGGAAATGCTCAGGAAGAACCAAAGGGCATTGAACAAAGCGATGCGAGATTTGGACAGAGAAAGAGTGAGGATGGAGCAACAGGAGAAGAAAATTATAGCAGACATCAAGAAGCTTGCAAAGGATGGGCAAATGGTATAACCAAGCATATATATTATGTTTTGTTCTGCTATATATATATGTATATGTCATATATCATTGAGATAGTTTTAAATTATTGTAGGATGCTGTAAAAATTATGGCCAAGGATCTTGTCAGGACAAGGCGTTATGTGAAAAAGTTTATGCTTATGAAAGCAAATATTCAAGCAGTATCGTTAAAAATACAGACACTACGTTCTCAGAATACAATGGCACAGGCAATGAAAGGAGTGACAAAAGCAATGCAAAATATGAATAAGTGAGTATAATATTCACAACACTATATAATATATCAAATACATTTTTACTCCAATATTTTATTTGCATTTATTGGATATATCAAAATATAATCAATATTTCTTTTTGACAGTTGTAATATTAATTTGATTTCTTTATATTTATTTGGTCTTTACTTTGATTTATTTTTTACAGACAGTTAAATTTACCACAAATACAAAAGATATTGCAAGAATTTGAAAAACAATCAGAGATCATGGATATGAAAGAAGAGATTATGAACGATGCTATAGATGATGCGATGGAAGATGAAGGAGATGAAGAAGAGAGGTATTTTTATATAAATATAGTATAAGTATTCTTTATTAATCTCACTATAAAGATAAGAAAGAATTATAAGATTTTTCTATTTGTTATTATTAATTGAAGGTATGGACACTATTGATATTTTATTTTTACAGTGACGCTGTAGTTGCTCAGGTGTTGGATGAGCTAGGTTTACAGTTGACAGATCAACTATCTGGCCTACCACAAGCATCTGGATCACTGAGTGTAGCTGGTTCTAAACAGCCAGTTGCCGCTGCAGCTGGCAACGAGGAAGGTGGCAATCTCGCAGACGCCGACGCAGATCTACAGGCCAGACTCGAAAATTTGCGACGTGAATGAATTAAGATTTCAAGTACTATAATTAGGATATAAGTGTATAAAAATGTAAAAAAGATTGGTTCTAGATTGAAAGATAACCTTAAAGCAGTTGATTTTTGTCAAATCGAGTGCTCAAAAATACTTCTATACATGATATACACAAACTTACGAATGTTATATTTGCGTGCAATTTCTGTCAAGCGTTCAATCTTTTCGTATTTTATATGCACTTGTATTTTATAACTGCTTTCATAGGAAATGTTCTCTGTAAATGCCTAAGCTTCTAATATGCAAAGAATATTGTGTAATAAAATATATGACAATGGTAGCATATTTCTTTTGATCTAATAACCTAATGGTATTCAATTGTGTATGTTAAACAATTGATGTAAAATTTTATATTTAACTTTATTATATATTTGGAACACAACATGTGACACATTTAAGCTTCTGTAGTTTAAAAACTGTTTGAGAACTTTCCAGTCCCCAGAAAAATATGTTTTATGATTTGATCATTTATTTTTTATATCCCATTTTCAATATTATATTTGCGTGCAATTTCTGTCAAGTGTTCAATTTTTTCGTGTTTTATACGCACTTGTATTTTATAACTACTTTCATAGGAAATATAAAATCAATATTTTCAAATACATTTATTCTATTTTACTGCAAGTTATCTATAGAAATCCTATTGTAAAATCATCGTCCATATAAGATCCATATTAATAAGTTCATTTAAATCTCCCGCTAATTGCTGCTAAGTATCGCTGCTATTTCGTTCTCTCAAAGTTCGATTTATTTCGAGCTATCGTTCAGCTGATATGGAACGGCCAAATATAATTTCGCCGTGTAATCATGGGTTTATGCCGGCTAAAAGATAAAGAAGAAATTACTAATTCCGAATGCATATTATTCGATTCGACCGTTGTAACGGTAATTCATTGACGTAAAAAATTTTTTTTTTAGAGAAAGCCGCGAAATGACGCAGCGATCTCCACGATAGTAATAATTTTGGTGTTTCTTTTTTTCAAAAGCTTACTTGAATACTAGAACTAATAAGATCAATTATTTTATTTAATACGTGTGTAGGAAAAGTAGTAAATCCACATGTAGCTACGAGCGAGTCGGGTTTTTGCTGAATTGATCGAGGAACCGAGAGCGACAGAGACGAAGAACTAATCACGCCGGCAAAAATATTTTATACCATTCGTTGATTCGTGCGACGTGTCATTGGATCAGGGTTGCTCTTTAGCACGCGATACGTAACACCGACTGCACACGTTACTATCAAAAAGTTCTTACATAAAAAGAAGACGTGTATCACAGTGGTCCCAGTATAGAGCGCGGATTAGTCAGTAGTTAACCTTGCAGCATATGTTAATCAGTAGTTCATGAAAAAGGGGGTATCAACAGGAGGAAATATGAGTTTGTCGTGACGGCTTTATGATATTGAACATAATTAAACGATCGAAATATGATATGCTACATGGGCAGATAGTGACGTCACTTGATAAACGCGGCAAATTCATGCCGTCCAGGTCACAGTTCATAGTGGAGTTCGTAAGTACATTTTACATTTTGTGTTTGCTAAGTATGATGTATAATTACTGCATATTCATACTTTTAGAAAACGTCAGTTGTTTAACCAAAAGTTTACTTGACCAATATGAGTCAGCTACAAAATAATCTGATAGCTGCTGCTATTGGAGCAACTATTGGAGTGATAGGTGCAGCTAGTATTTTTATTTATCAGAAGATTTTGGAAAACAAACAACGTCCTATGATGAATGCAAACTATGAGGAACTCAATCGTCGACTTACAGAGTTACAAGAAGAATTAGATGCGCTAAGGTGATGATTATCTCATTTTATTTAGTTTTATTTAATTGATTTTGTCTGAGTGCTTTTACAACAAACATACAAGTGTCATAGATTAATTTACATATTTCTTAATTGTTTCTTCTCAGACTACAGCAAAATCAAAGGAAGAAGAAGTTCAGTCGTAAATGTGTTCCTAATGACAATACATATACTGCAACGGATAATGATACCGATGCTTTTTCAACAGCAGGCACAGATATTGGAAATGATGAATTCTTTGACTGTTCAGACAGTGAGAATGGTATAAGTGACATAGAAACTTGGTTAGTACATTTTTCATCATATATTTAATATGCTCCATTCTTTATTCAAGCAAATTTCATGCCAGTTTAAAAGTTATTCTATAAACATTATTCTGTAAGCTTTTAATCTATATATTTTTTATGAATCTCATGTTTGTACACAGGACTTTCAAGTCAGAACTCACCCAAACTTAAAATTGACTTGATAATGCTTAACTTATTAGTGTTAATTTTACTTATTTGAAAGATGTATTCATAGTTTTAAAATAAGTTGAATCTCATAAAGAAGTCATAGATTGCCTGAGTCTTATTTGTAAGTTTGAGTTATGAACACAGGCTTTAACTTTAATTTTCTTTTTATTATACAAATTGACAAAACATGAAACGTAAAAGGAAGAGATTATATGTTTAGTGATGCAGGTCAACAGAAGCCACCAGCTCTGGATTAAATTTCACTATTTTGGATGCACATTTTGAGGAGGAATCACAGAAGAATATTTATCTTGAGCTACAAAAACTTGTAAACACTTATCCAAATAATGTAGATATAGCATGGAGATTTGCTAGATGTTGTTTCAAATACTCAAGTGATATAATTGATCAAACTGTAAAAGAAACTATTCTTCTTGAAGGTATTGAATTTATGTTACTACATTTTTTATACATATCTTGGTTACACATTTGTAGTTGCAGTATTTCATTATTATTCATTTTTTTAGAAACTCAAATTTGATATTTATTTTTCTAGGAATTAACATATGCAAAAAGTTTCTCACATCATCAAATGCAGATCTGCACAAGTGGTATGCCATATTGATAGGAGTGCACAGTAATTTTTTATCAGTAAAAGAAAGGATACAAAGTGGTTTTGAGTACAAGGAACATATAATAAAAGCCTTAGAAATACGCCCAGATGATGGTATGCTACATCATCTACTTGGTAGATGTCTGTATGAGTTTGCTAAGTTAAGTTGGGTAGAAAGAAAGGTATGTATTTGTAGGTTTTCATAGTAGCTGAATAATTTGAATAAAATTGATTAAAGTCGTGTAATTGATTGTCGTTGTATAGATCGTAGCGACGTTGTATTCTGAGCCTCCAAATGTTACATATGAAGACGCGATACATACCTTTGAGGAAGCAGAGAAGCTTATGGATGAAGTGAATCTGGAGAATAAAATGTATATTAGCAAATCATATATAGCATTAAGCAAGTACGAGCAGGCTATTCATTGGTTAGAGAAGATTTGCGACCCCTTGCACGTTCTTGAAGATGAGGACGAGAAGAAAATAGTGGATGAGGCTCATAATCTTCTCAACAAATACTCCGTCTATAAAAAGGATAGTTAAAAAAAGAGTGTTAATAAATCTGTTACGTTCATTCCATATATTGTAGCATAAGTATGTTATAAGAATCAACATGTCACATGTAGATGCAATTTATAGAGTACGACATGGAGGAAGAAAACGTACAAGCAATTTTAATTATTGAACATACCAGGAAGTAGTAGACGTCCCGTAAATAGTATTACAATTAAAAAGAAATAATCTTATAAAAAAAATTGACAACATAAGATAAAAATTGTTTCAACAAAGTTGAAAACAAAGTTTCATTTTCACAATTAAATTAATCTTGAAGATACTTAATTTTACTTTGACTGAATCAGCAAATTAACACTTTGTATTATTTTAAGTTTGAATGATCCCGAAATCCTAAATATACAATGCCTTTTGATATATTGTCCAACTTATTTTGACAGTGATATGAATAAAACATTTTGTCTTCAGTTACTAAAGAAAAAGTCAAGAACAATATAAATTATTGAAAAATGCATATTTAAAATTATATATGAGATTAACAACACTTTTTTTTTAAATAAAATGTATTTTTTTATGATTTATAACCGCTATCGAGATAAGTTTAATTGGCAAGAGTTTTATTGATTTCTCATTCTTCAACATTAATTTTTGTCTTAAGAATAAAACTTTGTAGATCTTTGTTGAATACAATATTTTTTTTAATTTTTAATATATATTTTTTTTATAATTACTTATTTTTCAATTGTACTACCATTTACGG